AAACTCTACCCAAATCGAAAGCAACCTTACTATACCATATGATTTCGGCCGCTAACCAACTCATTCCAGTATACTGGAAAAATCCAAATCCCCCATCCATAAGGGAATGGATACAAAAGGTCGAGACTATCAGAGGCCTGGAAGAGACAAGCCACTCTATGACAGACAAGTACCATCTATACACTGCCACCTGGGAACTCTGGAGTGCATACCTTCAAAATACACCCGGGTAGCCCACTAAAACCCGACCACCCCCCCCCCCCAATCCCAGGCTACTGTGGCCGCCAATGTATACATTGGGGAACATGGGTAACGGCAGCTTAAGGAGTGAGAGGCCTGAGGTAGACAACGGTTCACCTTTCCCCATACACCCTTCGGTGCACACCAACACCCGCTGAAACTCCACAGGCATCCATAATGCTTGAAGGGGATGTAATAGATGTAATAGATGTAAATAGAGGTTATGAGGTATGGGTTAACCAATGGATATTGAACAGTCTTGTTTATGTGTTACAACCCCTATGTCTAACCCACTTTGATGTATTGTTACAACTTTGCAACACAAAAAATTTATTAAAAAAAAAGAACTGTTCATATACCAGGGATCCAAATTTCTCGCCCTCCCTGAGGGGAGAGGAGGAGGAAAAATGAAGGTTTCAGGGTTCCCAGTACACAGGCTCATCCCTGGGGAGTTCAGAGGAGTCCTTAAAGGACCACTCTAGGCACCCAGACCACTTCAGCTTAATGAAGTGGTCTGGGTGCCAGGTCCTTCTAGGGTTAACCCATTTTTTCATAATTATAGCAGTTTCAGAGAAACTGCTATAATTATGAATGGGTTAAGCAAACTTATCAAGTAGCTTGTCTCATTTGACAGCGTACACTGGAAACTAGATAACTTCTCATGTGAAAATCACGGTGACATATAGCGTCAATAGAAAAGCATTATAAATGCTTTCCTATGAGACCGTCTGAATCAAGCCTGTCCCGTGCGTCATTCAGCCGGCCGGAGCACGGAGGAGGAGAGGAGGAGGAGAAGCTCTCCGGCTGGAAAAAGGTAAGTTTAAACCCCTTTCCCCCTTCCAGAGCCGGGCGGGAGGGGGTCCCTGAGGGTGGGGGCACCCTCAGGGCACTATAGTGCCAGGAAAACGAGTATGTTTTCCTGGCACTATAGTGGTCCTTTAAGGCCACAAATCCAATACATATTATTGCGTGCTTTCTTAGGTGGACTCTGCAGACAGATTGGTGCATACATCCTAAAGATGGGAGTAGTTCGAGGGGCTGGGGTTGGTTCAGGGACACTGGCTTCAGACCATCAGGAGGAGGTCCCATCAGAGGAATTATATGCTTGCTGCCCTAAACATGTGAGAGTACCTACAAAAGTCTGAAATTCTGGGCCAGATCTGCCTTTGCACACATTTCCGATTATGGAGGTTTTTTTAAACAACCATTTAGATTTGGGACGGGGTAATACACAATACACACACACATATATATATATATATATATATATATACACACACACACACACACACACACACATATATACACACATACACATATTTACATACATATATATACATATAGTTTTTTTTCTGTTCTGGTGGGCCGGGCTTCTACCCAGCCAGAGTATGAGCATACAATAACAAGGACGTAGTGAAATTCCCCCAACAGATTTTGGCATAACGGTAAAGTCAATGAGCAAATCAGACATAGGTAATGCGCCAACAGTTTGGATACCTGGTGGTTAGAGAGTAGGGTTGGATGCTATTTCCCTCTTGAATTCAGTCAGGGCATCCCAGAGTATGGGGACCAGGGCAGGGGTAGGATCCCAGGGTTCTGTGGCTAGTAGAGGTGGCCCAAGTAAATGGACCAGGGATAGAGGGGGCTACCCTGGGCGCTTGCTTACGGCGCCATCTACGGGAGAGTGGTGGACGGGAAAGAGGCACGTGTGCCTTACCTAAGCCTCGGAGTGTGAGCCGTCCTGGGTGGTGCGGGATTGCTGCCTGGTCGTTACAGGGTAGCTCTCCTCAGTGTTCGTCATTGGCACATAGGTGGAGGTGAGGTGGCTTAGGTAGCCGCCGTGCAGCACTTCTGCGGGGAGTTCCTCCATGAGTCCGACTTCCACCTTTCGATCGACTGTGCCCAATCCAGATGGACATAGGTAGGTAGGTGGTAGACGCGCGCCCCCCGCCACCTGGACAGCAACAGTCCCTCCATTCCTCTCGACCTGAATGATGAGCCGACTTTGCACCAGGGTCAGTGTGGCCCCTGGACGGTTCGCCCATTCAGCCGAACTGGCTGCCGGTGGTGAGCATGGTTGTCGTGAGCTGCTTGGTAGGGGTTGGCTGAGTACAGGCGGATCCAGGCATCTTTAGGGGGGATTTCAGGGGTTCAGCTTGGTAGTAGTGGGGTTGAGCGACCACAGGGCAAACCCACTGGGGTCTGAGTTGAGGGCACTTTTTTGTGGTGGCCGGGCTGACAGCAGTGGTAGCAGTTGGAGCCAGTCTGTGGGGGTACCCTCGGGTGGGTCCCCGCCGTCGGTGAGTTTCTTGGTGGGGGGTAGGTGGGGCAGCCGGGCGTTGGGGCCGCCAGGGAAATCAGCATAGTCATCGGCCCGCTGCGCTGCCTCTGTTAGGGTCTTGGGCTACCGGTCTCTCAGACACTCCCACACTTCATTGAAAAAAATGTTCTAACATGAAGAGCTGTAGGATCTCTTCTGGGGACTTGGCCTGTTCAGAGTCGATACACTTGTGCCCTGGTGATGCGGCATGCCCACTCTGCATGGGAGTCCTTCTCTCCCTTCTTTGTCTCCCTAAACTTCCAGCGTTATGCCTCTGGGGTGATGGCATACCTGGCCAGAGTATCTCCTTGACGCAGGGGTACTCCCGGAGCTTTTCCTCGGGTACAGCCCTGTGAAGAAACTACAATTTTTTGTATCATTACCTTTGATTTTCATCGTTCAATAGATACTGAACACCGACCACGCCCATGCTCATTAACTACAAAGGATACCGCAGTTTAAGTGCTCTCTCTCTGTGACCGCCGTTCGTATAGCTGAAAGGCCACGTGAAAACAGCGGACATCTTGTTCATACGAAACGAGGCAGCGGGACTTGGTCGTCGACTGTCTTGAACTAAAAGCGGACACACTGTGTGTGGTTTTTTGTGTTTGGAGATAATGGAGTTTAGTATAGTGCTTGACTCAATTATCTCTCCAGTACAGCGGAAGGATTATATTATTGTATGTAGGAGTGTTCTGGATAGCAAATGTAACGGCAGAATGTAGTTTGTCACTGTCCCCCCTCAGGTCCAATGGCGATTCCCCCTCGAATATGTCAACGTAAACCATGTACATTTGTAACTGAATATAAACCGGACGGTTGGCCTGAATAAACCATTCCTGTTTTACCCTTCATCTAGTCTAGGCTGATGTTTGGGTATCTGTCTGGTTTGCTTGGGGAATATACTTGGATGTTGTACTTCATCTGGAGAACGTTCGAATCAACACCCAAACTGCAAGCTATAATCACTCAGCCTCTAACAGTTCGGGAGGAAACAGACCAACGGGTATCTGCAATACCAGCGTTCGTTACAAGCCCTTTATGCTTCCGCCGCCTTAACTTACTGGCTAAGATGGTTAACCAGTCGGTTGGGTTGACTGCTTGCAGGAGGCACTGGCGCTCAAAATCATCAATGCCTTCTTCTGCTTCCTTAAACTCCTTGAAGGCGATTTATGGTAGTTTTGGTTTTTGAGCAGGATCAGTGGGACTCCCCAGAGACCTCTCCTCGCCCCCAGTCCGTTTGGGTATATGGGGGATGCTCCGTTCTAGCTGGCGAGGACGTATGTTTGTGCGTCAGAGATTATTCTGTTCATTGTTTCTTCCGAGGGGATCTATTTGTACAACGACAGGTGCCAGGCCACCTCTTTGTCATTTTAACCTTCTCCGGCCACTGGCTGCGTGTATGGTCGTCTTCCATGAAGGCAGCAGTCAGATCAGTCTTGTTGTGACTGCCAGCTGTTATCCCTCTGGCTTCACACAAATCATGCAGTGTTTGCCTTTTCAGAGACTGATAGTCCATGGGTCTCTTTGGCTGGGATGTGGGATCCTGCCACTTGCCACCAGTTGTGGCGGACCCTAGGTAACCCAACTGGTTACCTCCGCTTATAGAGAATGTAGAGACCAATTTTTCCCCAGTAACTGGACAAGACAGTTACAGGGGTACAACAACTTTATTGGCCACACTCGTCTTTATACTTTCCCCATGCAAGGGGTGGATCACACATAATGTCCCCTTCCAGGGGTTTATGCCCCATTCCGCAAGGAGCCATTAGGAAATTATTAGTGCATAACCCTGATAGTTGGTGTGTGAGTCACCTAGTTGCTTGGGTTATGGGTATTGGTTGCCTAACAAATGGAAAAACCTACAATAATAGGAGTTGAAGTAAGGTTGTTTTTTTAAATTCTGTTGGACAGATCGTTTATTGAATACCAGGATTATTCTGCAGGGGGAATTCCAAGGCTTTGAATAATTGATGTGTAATTATGGTAAATCACATACATTTAGTTCTCTGGGCATGCATCAGTTACAATAATGACAGAGGTACAAAAAGTTTGTACATGTCCACACAGTGGGACATGCGCAATGGAAACAGCTGGTTGCCAGACACTCGATGTGGATAAATTCAGTAAGTTTTCTGTATATGTTAGTATCCATAGTATATTTTTATGGCTCTAAAGAAATTTGCAAACTGAAAAGATAACTACTTTGGAATAAAAGTTTAATAAGTTATAAGATTGAGAGTGCGTTAATTTTTAAAAAAAAATTGTTTTTTTACTTTTCTATGGATATTGAGCCTCTAACAGGGCAATGGACAATGTATTTGCCCACTAGGCACTGGCGAATAAACATTAAGCCATAACAAGTAGAAATTCACTCTGGTGAATATTATATGAATAGCTAGTTTTGTTTCTCTATTGTTATACAGAATCTTTTACATATTCATGACATTTTGTAGCATAGTAAATCGGAGCCTGTACCTCTTTCCAGTGCAAGAAGAAATTCTCTGTTTCTTTGAAGCTCTCTCATAAACTCTTCATTCTGCAGGAAGAGGGCAATCTGTTCATCGTGCAGGTATTGATTTAAATTTCGTTCATTGCCCATGGATTTTGCTTTTGTTTTGCTTTCATCACATAAGGAAGATGCTCCACCATGTGACAGCTAAAACAATGTTAAGATAAAAAAAGTATAATCAAATATACAAAACAGTCAAATATCTTTTAATGCTTAATAGACAGACATTTAGAACAGACGAGTAGCTTGCCCTTTTAAAGAAACACTCAATGCTTTTAAGAACATTTCAGCATTATACATAAAACACAGTTATGTATAATGCTGGAGTGTTGCATTTTTCAGTGTATATTTAAGTCGCCCCCCCCTCTCCATAAAGAGTTATCATACCTTTAATTCAGCAGTGAGACAGTCCCTAGCTGCAGTTCTGTTCTACCTGCTTAGAGATCATCACTACTAATGATCTCCCAACCAACAGAATAGTTTACATGAAGAAACATTTGAAGTCAATGCCCATGTAGAAACATAGAATGTGACGGCAGATAAGAACCATTTGGCCCATCAAATCTGCCCAATTTTTATTTTTTAAAATTCTTTATTTTATTGAGGCATTCGAGTAATACATATCAGATAATAACAGTAGGTGCTCACATGAGCCATGAGTACAATCAAGGAGCATAGGTGTTGTGGATCAAACCAAGTGTTTGTTTATTTGAGTATCTGCTCCCTTCCAAATTGTTAAAACAAGTGCCTGCACGCTCTGAAGTAAATCACACAGACACAGGCATCAGGTTAATGAAAAACTTCGGAATGTTTAGTCAGGGTGGCGGCAAGCCCATTATAAAGGCAAAAATACATCATATGCAAAAATGTACATAACAGAAAGAATACATCTTCAAAAGGTTAGGTGTTAAGGGTCTTATCTAGTGCACATCCTATGAGGCGTGATGTCACCATCATCCTGGGATTTTACTCTGGATGTAGGCGCCATCCTGTTACACGAGGTAGTTAGTCGGTGGGAGGGAGTGCTGCCATTTTGAGTAAATATTGAATACAGGTATACACAGTAAATAGACATTTTACTATCACTAATTTACATCCATAACAGTCCCTTCCCCTATGTCTATTTACTAACATTCTACAAAAGCTACTGAATATCTAAATCTGTCCCTAAGAGGCTGCAGCACATCTGTCTAACAAGCCTTGAAACTCTTTTGATGCTGCGCATAAGACGGGCAGTGGCTTGTCCACTATCCCCTCGCTACAGACTTTGCCCGTAAAGACAGACGCTATCCCTAATATCCCTAAAAATAAGTAGCTTTGTGATTGGTGTGAAGGGACTGCAACGGAGAATGAGGACTGTCATAATCCTTGTCATCTATGTCTTGGTGAATGAAAGTCGGGGTGGCCTGATCTTCGGTCTTCTGTAGGCACTTTTTAATACAGGGTAGCATGCAACAGACAATGAGAGCAAGGATAACCAACATTATCAAGACAGCCACGCCTAACTTGGCCAAAACTTTCTGCCAACCATTCATCCATCCAAACCATCTTTCCCACGGATCTGTGACCCCAGAATTTCTTTTCAACTCTTCAGAGAGATTCTCTAGCTTCTCTATTGCCAGAGTTACCTTGTCATTAGGGCCAGTGTTATCTGTGATGAAGGTACAAAAGGTCATGGTGTCAGGGAGTATTTTACATACTCCCCCTTTTTCTGCCAGAATCATATCTAAGGCCATCCTATTCTGGAAGGTCATCTGGGAAGTAGCTTGTAATTGTTCAGCCAGCCCTTGAAGGGCATCTCTAGTGTAATTAACAAATCACTGTTGATTATAATAGATATAATTAATCCAATTCAAATTCTTATTAGCAGAGACTTTGTCTCTTGCCATGAATTCGTTCGGTACCCCCCTTGGTCAAAACTGCCCTTTACAGGGGTGCTCCTTTTGATTCTAAAATATGAATGTGGCGTGTCAGGACTACCTTGGTGATTGTCAGATATGTGTATGGGCATAACCTTGGCATTCCCCCCACCATACATCTTCAATCCTTGCCCTAAGTTGCATATCTCCCCACAATATATGTCCCCCAAGGACCTAACGTGTTACTGTAACAAGGCAAGTGGGACTGTTCTATATGTAGCACAATATCCGTGAGTGAAATTACCCAGAAATCTGCCTATCCTATTGTAAATACCGTAGCAGGTGTAGTTTCCTGGATATACAGTAATGACCTCGGCTGGCTTAACATTCTTGGTGATCATAGGATATTCCTTCTTCCATGACTCACACGCTGACCAATTAGTTTTATAATGGGCATAGAGGCTTAAAAAAAACATGTCTCTACGTCAGGGGGTAAATTTAGGGGTATAGTGCCTAGATGGGGTCGGGCTCCTCCACAGACATAGCAGTTCGTTTTGTTATGTTTGTTTGCATTATATCTCATCCATTCAAGCCATAGGTTAGTATCTGAGAAACCCATCTCTACGGCCATAGTATCTTCGAATGTGGGATTTGCTATAGCTACCATGTCCTTAAACGTCTTAATGTGGTGTTTAAGAGGGTTGACAGTCATATGTCGGGAGTCTATCCACTCGGGTGACTGATACATATCTTGTAGGTAGAAGCGTCCCTGCTTATTATAGGAGCCTCCCCCTCTCCAATACATTCCCATTACATATTCTCCAGCATCTCCGAGACTGGGGTGTTCTATATTTAGGGTGAGTTTCATTGGGGTCGCCCCACCTGGCTTTCGTAAAGTCATTCTATGCAATAAGGATTCTTCGTTCCTGTCCACCCTATCTAGGGCACTTTGTGGTTTGTAGCCCCATGCTGGCCCTGCATTCCAACCCGCCGCCCTCCAGGAACTGCAGTCATGTCCCCAATAGTCGTGTGTCACATATGTGTATGGGTCTTTTATGGTGGGTATGTCTTTGTATACTGTTGAGAGCAATGACTGTGGGAATGAACAGCTGACAATGTCACAATAGTCAAACGTTAAGGTGGCCACATGTGTGTTAGATGAGTTGTACCAAAATGTATAGACATGATTATCTTTAGTGACGGCAACTTGATGGGCCCTTATAAGGCCTAGCAGCAGAAGGGTATGCAGGAGATTCATGGCTTAGGACAGTCCACTTTCTCTGGGGCTGGAACATTCTTGCAGTGGGAGGCGTGTATCCACGTGCTCTTTCAGGCCAATTTAACAGAAGTAGCTGTGACTAAGAGGACTTGGAAGGGACCATCATATCTTGGTTTAAGAGTGTTTATCCTCACAAATTTCTTAACCAAAATCCAATCACCAGAAAGCAGTCGGTGGGTTCCTGTATCAGACTCTGGATCTGGAATGGAAGAAAACATTTGTGCATGGATTTTGGTCAAGGCAGTTACATAATCAACAAATATATCAGACTGGAGTTGAAGTTGCGGGGGGGAAATAGCACCTAAGCCTAGGGACTGAACCAAACAGAATCTCATAAGGGGACAGAACAACTTCCCTCTCTGTGTGTACCTTATACTAAACAGAGCTATGAGGAGACTCTCGGGCCAGGGCAGGTTAGTTTCTTGGGCCATCTTAAAGGACTACTCTAGGCACCCAGACCACTTCAGCTTAATGAAGTGGTCTGGGTGCCTGGTCCAGCTATGTTTATGAATGGGTTAAGCCTTCCCCTATTTCCTCTAGTGGCTGTCTCATTGACAGCCACTAGAGGCGCTTGCGTGCTTCTCACTGTGATTTTCACAGTGAGAGCACGCCAGCGTCCATAGGAAAGCATTATGAATGCTTTCCTATATGACTGGCTGAATGCGCGCGCAGCTCTTGCCGCGCGTGCGCATTCAGCCGACGGGGAGGAGAAGAGGAGGATCGGAGGAGGAGAGCTCTCCGCCCAGCGCTGGAAAAAGGTAAGTTTTTATCTTGAGCCATCCACAAACAGGGTGAGGTCAAGTTCTAGTAGGGCAGTTTCATGCACCGTTGGGAGATGCGTTGTTTCCATTTTCATTTGTTCAAAGCAATCATATGGTGCTTCTGGATCCTGGTCCTGGTCTGTGGGAGGGGCGTTAGTGCATATTTCTGTGTGGAATCTATGGTAGCCAGTTGCTTTGCAGTTCACAGTTCGCTTGGTGACACCCTCTTCAGAGAGCTGGGTTTGGTCCGCGGTGCTCCATGATTTAGCCAATGAGCCAAGTTCTTTCCATGAAATCTGTGGGAACTTGGAGAAAAATGTGAGGGATAGCCACACCCCAGTGGTGATATAGGTGGCCTATCTCCATAGGCAGGAGGATTGTGGCTAGGCAATTGCTGTTGGGGTCACAGAATAGATCAGTTATGGTAAGGCGTACCTCCACCAGCTGGAACAGTTCATAATGTGGTTCGGGTCCTGGGGTGTTTCTGAACCACAATGTGCAATGGGGGAAAGGCTGGGTATCATGGGGGACAGGGGGCTTGCGCCGCTCCATGCAAATAATGGAGTCTGGGTCTATGTTGAGGCAGAACCAGTAGTGGGGAATTCCCCCCCTGGGAAGTGGCAGAAGAGTGGCCAGGTTAAGGGAGTAGCATCTCTGCAAGGATACATTATATGGCAGCAAAAGGGAGCATTGTAAGCGGAGATGGCGAGCACCCGAGAGATGCTTGGTCTGGACCTGATTGAGGATGGCGGCAATGTCGTAGGGTGCAAGAATGGTGAGTTTATGCCCAAGGATCAAATCACTTGTCTTGTCAATGAGGGCCTGTGCTGCGAAGACTGCTCGAAGACAGTAGGGGCCCCCTCTTGCCACGGTGTCCAGCTGGCATGAGTAGTAGCCAATCAGGCGTTGGCGGGAACCATGGGACTGAGTGAGGACTCCTGAGGCATGACCCAACCTTTCAGACATGAACAACTTGAAGGGTTTCCTATAATCGGGAAGGCCCAGGGCGGGCGCAGTGGAGATGGCACATTGCAAAGCAAAGAAGCTGAACAAGGCTTCAGGGGATAGAGAAAATGGTTCTGTCTTTAGGGCATCAGAGTGGAGGCCTCTAGAATCCAGGCCCTGCAGTAAGAGATGAGGCCCAAGAAGGCATGAAGGGGTTTGTGAGCTGTGGGTGGGCAGATAGCTAAGATACCCCACACCCGTTCCCGGGTGAGGTGACGGGTGCCATGGGTGAGACAATGTCTCAAGAAGACCACGGAGGGCCGGCACCATTGCAGCTTCTTCTTGGACGCCTTACATCCTTGTTCAGCGAGGTAGCAAAGTAAATCTTATGAGGTACGTTCAGCCGTGGGAGGGTCGTCAGCACAGAGGAGGAGGTCGTCCACATATTGGAGGAGAACCACATCAGTGTGAGTCTTTTGCCATGAGTCCAGAATGGAAGCCATAGCTTTAGCAAACTGACTTGGTGAATTCTGTGCTCCTTAAGGCATGACAGTCCAGGTGTATTGCTGACGGTCATCGGTGAATGCAAACTGATATTGACTGGAAGGGTGTAGGGGAACACTGAAGAAGGCATTTACCAAATCCACCACTGTAAAATACTTTGCCGTAGGTGGGACTCCTGACAGAGTATGAGGGTTAGGTACAATAGGGGTGTCCAGAAAGGTTGCATCGTTGACGGCTCTGAGGTCTTGGACCATCCTGTACTTTTCTGGCTCACCCTTTTCAATCTTATTCTTCACAGAGATTAGGGGAGTGTTGCAGGGAGATTCACATTTGACCAGGGCACCTTTTGATAACAGGCTTTCAACTTGTTTGAGGATAGCAAGGGCCTGGGCAGGCCTCAAAGGATATTGCGGTTTACGGGGTGGATTGACACCTTGGAGTAATTTCAGCACAACAGGGGGGGATTTGTCCAATGTCATCTGGGCCTGTGGACCACAACTTGGCAGGAATTCTGTCAAAGGCACTGGGGAGGGGGGGGGGGGAATCATCTAGGACCATTGCATCCCTGTTAGGAGACTCCATGTGGAGCAGGAGGGGTATGGAGCAGAGGGCTGAAGTGTCAGTGGTGGACAGGGGGGAGGACAATTGTATCTGGCCATCTGGGATAAAAGAGATAGAGGCTTGGAGACGGGAGAGGACATCTGCTCCTAACAGGTTAATTGGGCACGTAGAGGAAACCACAAAACGGGCCAGGAGGTCTGGGTAGGTGCCGACTTGTAAAGGCTTAGTTAGTGGGCTACTCCGGGGAGTGCCGTCTACACCTACGCATAAAATACATCAATAATCGTGAGGAAAGAGAAAAGTGGTTGGGTGGCCTTCCACAGGCAGGACCACTGTGGCTATGGGCCCTCCCTTATCCCTTGTAGACACTGCCATGACAGGGGTGGGTGACACAGGTTTGCCAGTTACCTATTGTACAAGATCAAGATGAGCACGGCCTGGGCCAGTGTAAGGGCGGCTGGCTGATGCAGGGGGAGGAGGTGGGAATTGGACAGCAGGCTGGCTGGGTGGGGAAGGCGAATAACCGGCAGTAGGGTAACTGGCAGCGGGGTGAGGACGTACCAGGTAACTGGGGGCTGAGAACTGGGAATAACCTGCTGCGGGGTGGGGCTGCCTCACATCCCGCATGAACTGTCTAGGAGCCCTAGGAGCTGGACAGTCTCTCCTGAAATGTCCAGATTGACCACAGTTATAAAACCCTTTTTGCTGTTGTTGTTGTTGCATAGGAGGCTGACCCATAGGAAGGCTTAGGGCCTGGCTCACAGGGAGGCCTGAAGGTTGGTGTGGGTGTACAGAGTGGGAGAACATGAGAGGGACTGGCTTTCTAGGTGGGGGTAGTTAGGAGGACTCTAGGCCCTTTACAACCAGCAGGAGGGTATCCAGAGGAATGATCCTGTATTCAGGGCGGGACAGAATTAGGCCTTTGTGAATGGATTCTTTAAGGCCTGCCACGAAGGCTGAGAATAGCATTTGGGTATAGGCCTTGTTGTACAAACTAAAACCCAGGTCAGACAAGATTTGGGACAACCTGGAGTGATACTTCTCCACAGACTCGATCTTACCTTGGATAACATTTTTGATACCGGTAGCCTGGTCAGCTAATTTATCTTGAGCCCACAGCTTAAGCTGTTCACAGAACTTAACACCGGAGGAGAAGTCAGACTCATTAGTAAGTCGAGCATTGGAGAAGCTTCTCTCCAGAACGGGCCAATAAGCACTGCCTGCATTAATTTCACAGAGGCTACACAAATCACGCCATGCCGCGGAATAGGTCTTTCGGATCTGGGCAATCCTTTGGTAGAATGGCATGGGCTGTTTCTCTGGATCTGGGAGAGAGCCCATGAGAGTTGCGGCCTGGGACGGGGTGAATGAAACCTACATCAAAGTGGCTCCATCTGTAAGAAACTGGATTTTGGGGTTCTCGTCCTGGGGGACTCTAGGATTCTCGATACGGCATTGGGAGAGAGAGCCGCAAAACAGGCTACCATCACCAAGGGGTGGGATTTGATACCCATGAGAGCTGGCGGCCTCGAAGGAACTAGGGGCTTGGGCCGCTCCGATAGTATCGTACCTGGACAGGGTATGTAGGGGTTGGGAGTGGAGTGCTCAGCACCTGAACTCCCCCATAGGGAGTGAGAATGGGTGGGTCTGCAAGGGACACTAAGTGTCAGTCAGCCACGACGGGTATAATGGGAAGAGACATACTGGGGGGCCGCAAGTGTTCGGGAGAGGAAGCGGTAATAATGGCGGAAGGGGCAGAGACAGGAACAAAGGGCACAGCAAGGGCGGAAGTGGCAGGAGCAGGAAGCAAGGGCAGAGGAAGGGCAGAAGTGACGGGTGCAGGAAGCGAGGGCAGAGCAAGGGCGGAAGTAACGGGGCAGGCTCAGTCGGGGTGGAGAGGTAGGACATATCTGGGGCGGGCAGGGAGGGCATGACAGGGGCGGGGGAATATAAAGATCCATCCGCCCTAAGGAAGGGGGAACACAGAGGTGGGGGCCAGTGACTGTTGACACAGGTAACTGGGTGGAGGTCACAGTGACTGGGCCGACCTCCTTCCCTCCGTGCCAAGCGCCATTATAGGGCGGGTAGCTGGCATTGGATTTCAACAATACTTTAAGCATTACAATTACTTACTTACACATTACACGTATTCCAGACAAAAAGACATATACACCAGAAGGTTCAAAATACAGATACAATCAAATCACAATTCCTTCACAATAAATGCAAACAAAACACAAACCCTTTAATATAATTCAAGAACAATGCCACGTGCCTTACTGTGCTAAAGCCAACAATAAACCCTGGCCGCGCGCGTACGGCGCTACGAGGGTAAAGCTATAAATGCAATTCCCCGGCCACGTGCTTACGGCGCTGTAGCGGTAAAGCTATAAAATACAATTCCCCTTCCACGCGCTTACGGCGCTGTAGCGGTAAAGCTATAAAATGCCTGTGAAATACTCTCCCCTTTCCCCTTCACACCCAGGAGGCAGATGGTCAATATACAGGTCCTATACAGAGGGGCTCCGGGCAAGCTATTTACCTGTCTTTGGTGCCCTCCAGCAGCCGACGTAGACACAGAGATAGGCCAATCACAGGGACAGGATATATAGGCAAGGTGCTGCCGCAGTCATTACTGTATATTCAGAGTTGATCAGGCTCTCTCACGTCACTGCCGGTCTGCCCCCGGTGTCTTCTAGGAAGGCTGACCAGGAAGGGTCACAAACCCGGAGCCCCACGTTGGGCACAAATGTTGTGGATCAAACCAAGTGTTTATTTGAGTATCTGCTCCCTTCCAAATTGTTAAAACAAGTGCGTGCACGCTCTGAAGTAAAACACACTGAGACACAGGTATCAGGTTAACGGAAAACTTTGGAATGTTTAATCAGGGGGGCGGCAAGCCCCTTTTAAAGGCAAAAATACATCATATTAAAAAAATGTAGATAACAGAAAGAATACATTTTCAAATGGTTAGGTGTTAAGGGTCTTATCTAGTGCACATCCTACAAGGCGTGATGTCACCATCATCCCGGGATTTTACTCCGGATGTAGGTGCCATCTTGTTACACGAGGTAGTTAGTTGGTGGGAGTGGGTGCTCTAGCAGCCATTTTGAGTAAATATTGAATACACGTATACACAGTAAATAGACATTTTACTATCACTAATTTACATCCATAACAGTAGCTCAAGCAAAAAAGTAGCCTTTTTCTTTTGTGTGCAAGTTTATAAGAAAAGTACATGTACTATGTTCAAACAGTTAAAGACATGCAATGCTAAGATGCACTATATGTAAGGCGACACAAGGGTTATTTGCTATGAACCCGTTAAAGGGTTTGGGTAGTCATGCGGTGAGAGAACCCAGCATAGTGCTCGCTTAAGTTGGGCAGGTATACCGGTCTATCCAGTGATGTGTACTGCTTGTGTGTTTTAGTTGCGTGTTGCCCTACGTGAAGAGTATGCCGGTATGTGTATGCATAGGGTAAGAAAGCTGTAATTTTGCTACTAACCCCTCAGAGAGCGATCGATAAACCTATGGGATTGTAGGAATTGCAGCCTAATATGCATTTGGTAGTGCGGTTACGTTTTTCTCTGCAGGGGATGTGGGTCACGGCCTACATGTGAGGCAGGATTAGTGGGTTATGGTGGAAGCATGTCCCTGCCACTCCTGTACCGCTACCCTTTTACTGTGCTAATCTTCATGGCGGCTTACAGTGTCATTGTCCCTTTTGTCCGGTGTTGGCCCTCCACCGTCCCCAGGTACTCACAAGGGCCCTTGTGGAGATATTGGAGGCATTTGTGTGGTGTAGTAGCTCCATTAGGTGGTCCAAGAGTACCCATGGAGAGGTGCCTTCCTTAGAGTTATCGAAATGCCATCGTTAGTTCTGGTCAGCTGTTTTGGTAGTATGAGCTGTTGTGTGTTCTGTATGCTTGTTGCCTGTGCCTTGTTGGTAGCTGTGGTAGTCTTAGCTGGGAAGTGAAGGTGGGAGCGGTCGGGTGGTTGCCCTGTGTGTGGTCTTCCAGCACCGTGTGCAGTCAATCATGATGATGCTTACATATGCTGGGTAACGTTAGTGTGCTTATAGGGTGGTCATGCTGTTCCAGGGGGATGCCGCAATGTTGCCCAGGGTAAGGTGTAGGCCAAGCTTGTGCTTATAAAGGGAGCCAAGGCTTACAGTGTGCGGCCGGGTTTGTACATTTCTACCTGCTTCATGAGGGTTTTGTTCGTATGTTGCTGTGTACGCACCTGAACTTGGCTAACAGCTATCAAACGCGCAAAAGAGACCATTAAGAACTAAGAACATAATAAACTGTCCAATAACTTGGGTTGTCTGCAAGGAAAAGCAGCAATTGCGTTAAGTAGTAAATCAGTCCTGGCACTGCAGGCCCTCTTGGTCACCTCAGGAGGTGGCTACTGCATAGGCGTCTGTCGCAGGCTTCTCGGGACGAACGGGATCGTTGTGGCAGGGTTTCAGGTTCGGGTCAGGGCCTTGGGTACCGTCGGCCTGTGGTGATATTCTGTCAAACTAATATGGTGACCAGGGGTCATGTGACCAAGCTCATGTATGCCTTTCTTACAGTGCGATATGCGTTACCCTTTGATATGGTAATTGGGTAATTCAATACATTTACAAGTCAGGAAAGAGGTAACCACTTCCCCCTATCTCCATTCCTCCCTGTTCCTTCTTGGCTGTGCTACTGAGCAGACACTCAAGCAGACATGGCCTAATTTCTATCATGGTGAACTGTGGGTGGGATCTGGTGATTTTATAAGATGTAGTTGTTATTGTTACCGTGTTTCCCCGAAAATAAACCCTACCCCGAAAATAAGCCCTAGTCGGATTTTCGGGGTGGGCTGCAATATAAGCCCTACCCCGAAAATAAGACCTAGGCATTGTACCTTTGCGGCGAGACTTCCTTCTTCTGCTGTAGAAGGAGCGTCGCGCAACGTGATGACGACATTTTGCAGCGCCGTCAGTCTGCCTTCACAGATCTTCAGCGGAAGGATCCATTTCCGGGCGGTGAGGCTCCCAGTGGTCGGACTCGGCAAGGAATCTTTGAAATGTGAGTACCGCTAGATATTTTATGTCTGGGATTAATTGAATTAATTAAAGGGGGTGGGGGGGTGAATTAATTAATGGGTGGGCTGGATTAATTAGAGGGGGGTGAATTAATTAAAGGGTGGGCTGGATTAATTAGAGGGGGGTGAATTAATTAGAGGGGGTGAATTAATTAAAGGGGTGGGCTGGATTAATTAGAGGGGGGTGAATTAATTAAAGGGTGGACTGGATTAATTAGAGGGGGTGAATTAATTAAAGGGTGGGCTGGATTAATTAGAGGGGGTGAATTACTTAAAGGGGGTGAATTAATTAAAGGGTGGGCTGGTTAATTAGAGGGGGTGAATTAATTAAAGGGTGGGCTGGATTAATTAGAGGGGGTGAATTAATTAAAGGGGGGTGAATTAATTAAAGGGTGGGCTGGATTAATTAGAGGGGGTGAATTAATTAAAGGGGGGTGAATTAATTAAAGGGTGGGCTGGATTAATTAGAGGGGGTGAATTAATTAAAGGGGTGGTGAATTAATTAAAGGGTGGGCTGGATTAATTAGAGGGGGGTGAATTAATTAAAGGGGTGGTGAATTAATTAAAGGGTGGGCTGGATTAATTAGAGGGGGGTGAATTAATTAAAGGGGTGGTGAATTAATTAAAGGGTGGGCTGGATTAATTAGAGGGGGGTGAATTAATTAAAGGGGGGTGAATTAATTAAAGGGTGGGCTGGATTAATTAGAGGGGGGTGAATTAATTAAAGAGGGGTGAATTAATTAAAGGGGGTGAATTAATTAAAGGGTGGACTGGATTAATTAGAGGGGGGTGAATTAATTAAAGGGGTGGTGAATTAATTAAAGGGTGGGCTGGATTAATTAGAGGGGGGTGAATTAATTAAGGGGGGTGAATTAATTAAAGGGGGGTGAATTAATTAAAGGGTGGGCTGGATTAATTAAAGGGGTGGTGAATTAATTAAAGGGTGGGCTGGATTAATTAGAGGGGGTGAATTAATTAAAGGGTGGGCTGGATTAATTAAAGGGGGGTGAATTAATTAGAGGGGGGTGGATTAATTAGAGGGGGGTGGATTTATTAAAGGGTACCGTACCGGTACCGGTACCGTAAATAAATAAGCCCTACCCTGAAAATAAGCCCTAGTGAGTTTTTTGTGACTAAAATTAATATAAGACCCGGTCTTATTTTCGGAGAAACACGGTAGTTAGGTGGTTGTTGCTGTTGCTGTTGGTGGTGGTGGTATAGTTAGTTAGATTGTGTGTCATTATTTGTATGTTGTTTTGTCTCTGAATAAATATTTGTTAAAGTAGACTGACCAGAGTTTATATGTGTATGCGCACATTATAATTTATAGAGTTTGGTAATTTACAACACGGCCTGGTGGTGGTCAGAGAGTCTGGTGGGAGATCCAGGGTGTGTAGTAGCGCCTTTGCACCATGAAGATCTTGGATAGGGTAGATGGTGTCGTCGTGGTGAACTTATAGTGCGCGGGGTGATCTCTATCTGGAGGTGATGTTGTGTGCGTGTTTGTGAAGGGCTGGGGGCTGCGACACCATGCCATTGCGCTCCCCGACAGGTCAGCGTAAAATGAGAGCTTCATGGTCTCGAACGTGTAAGGAGAATAGTGCCGCTCTGCGGCCATGACCGCCTGCTTGTCTCTGCTCCTTTGAAACCCGATCAGCAGATCTCTAGGTGTCGAGGGTGGTGCTTTGACAGGCTTCTGTAAGCAGAATACCCCCTCCATTTCCACTGCCCTTGCCTGTTTGGGTGGCAGGAGCCTTCTCACCAGATGTGTCAGTTCTGCTTCAGGTATTTCTTCAGGCACTCCCCTGATCTTGATATTTAAACTTCGTTTTTGATCCTCTAGTGCTGTGAATCTTATTTCAGTATTGGCTTGTTGTTATTGTAGTTTGCCCACCACCTGTTGGAGGAGTGCTGTGTGCTGTGTATTTTGGCAGGTTTCTTGCTCCAGTGTTCCGTCAGGCTTCGCAGGTCTTGGCGTAGCTGTGCCATATAAGCCTATATTGTGTGCTGTAGGCCTGCTAGCAGTTCCTTGATGACCGCTGTGGTGACCGGAGCCAAGTAAGATGAGGGAGGAGGTGGCTTGAGAGTCAGCAACACAGGTAGCTGTCCTCCGCTGCCCCCATTTTTGTGCAAAAGAGGGACACATCTGGAGAAACACAACCAATTCACAATCGAATTACTAAACTTTATATTGATGCACAATTACTTAATCTTTCATGGGGTTTACTACCACCAGGTGAAGGGGACATCTTGTGCGCCCTCATATGCCAACCTGATGGTGGGAAGAGAATGTTGTGTTCTCCGGTATGTACAGTAATTTTGTAGGGTGCATCCATACTTGGAAGAGATTTATAGATGTTTCGTTGGGGTCTAGTGAGGATTTCTTCTCCTTTATCAAATTATTAAATGAAAATGAACTTAATTTGAGATTTACAGCAGAGGTGTGAAATCCCTCTTTAAACCTTTTGGATGTGACACTAACTCCAGAGACTGAAGGTACCATATGAACAGACCTCTATAGAAAAGGTACAGCCACAAGTAGTCTGATGAACTAGAGAAGCCATCAACCAGTTCAACAAAAGAAATTTCTCTGACAGAGGACTTCAAAAAGAGGGTGAAAGAACTACAATCTATGTTCAGGTCAAATGGCTATCCCAACAAATGCTTTAAAAGAGCATATCATAGGGCACTTTTAACTGAAAGAGAAAGTCTCCTAAGTGAGGAAGTAAACCCTCTCTTGATACAGAAGACAAGTGACTCTAAACAGTTAAGGTGCATAGCCACCGATGATGGAGGTTGGGATAGGGTAAAGACTATTATGGACAGATTTTGGCCCATCCTAAAACAGGATGGTTATCTCAGGGATGATTTCTCCAAATGTATCCATCACAGCTAGAAGTGGAAAGAATTTTAAAGACTTATTCGTACACAGTCATTTCCAAAGGGAGATGGCACCAAAGCACTGGCTGTCAAGTAAATTAAAAGGAACTTACAAGTGTGGCCGCTGTAAAGCGTGCAACTTTATTTCTAAGGAATCCAAACACTTTGAGAATAGCAATCTTAATGAAACATTCTAAGTGTAGTCTTCAATTGTAACACAAAAGGACTAATTTATTTACGGACATGTCAATGTGGTCTCATCTACATAGAAAAAATGTTTTGCCCCTTCAAGAGACGCATTCTAGAACATGTTAATTCTTTTAAAACCACTAGAAGAATCGAGACACCAATATCCAGGCATATCAAACTGGTCCATCAGGGCAACACCAAAGGACTGAAATTCCAGGGCATCGAATAATTAACACTGGATCAAAGGAAAGACAACCTTGACAAACGCCTGCTTAGGAGGGAGTGCTTTTGGATACATCATCTGAATATACTCTGCGACTTAATGAAGGCTTTACATTCTCTACCTCTAAAATATCATATTATTCAAAGATTGATTACCTATACAACAGCTAAACTATCCACTATTATACCAAAACATGCAACCATTTAGTAGATCTACGGTGACTCAGCTAGACAATTATGTCCCAACATCTCCATAATTTTCATTATCGATCCACTCATTGGAAAAGAAAATAGGGACCTGTAACCAACTTCACCCTATAATAGACTACAGTGAAAAGATGGAGGTATACTACTACTACTGAATAATACTACTTATGAGAGATTGCAGAATTCCAGAGGGGGGTCAATAGCCCCATTGTCAAGAAGATATACTCTGTACCGTTTGATTTGTAGGATCACTATATCTAATTAGCATATAGATACAACTGTCAGTTTTATGTTTATTTTTGTCAAAGGGATAATAAAGCCCGTTATCAATCTTCGCACACACATTTTTTACTGTTGAAGACATTGCATTCAATCATTTACTTTGTTTTATGAAATACCAAACCAGGGATTCTCACATGAGGTTACTATAAGGGTTAAGCCCTGGGTGGAACTGGTACCTCCCCCACTGACTAACCCCAGTCAGGGATGTTGTCATTATAATGGTGATTTAGTCTATTAATTTTGTTTTATCACCTGACAGATCTGCATAGAAGGACAGGGTCATGTTCTCAAAGTAGTCCCCTTGAGAGATGCTAGGACCATATCTGCAGAGCTGTGGTACCACACCACGAGGTCCCTGGCTCCCTTCGGGGCTTTGGAACCATGAAGACTGTTAAGACGTCTAAAGTGGTATTTATGGCTTGCTTAGGTGCCAACAGCACTCACGTTAATCTTCACATTAGGTGTGGGAGTTGTGCTGCGGAGATGTCCTCCGAGACCCCTCTGATCTTCAGATTATTGCCACGTCGGTAGTCCTCAATAATCACGCTGCTTATGCTTGGCTTGCTGCATCTTGAGCATTTCTATTTCAAGTTGGAGCTCTGTAATTGATTGCGTGTTTTTGTCTGAGGAGGCTTCCACCTCCCCTATGCGACCAACTAGGCCAGTGAGGTCGTTGTGAAGCTGGGCCACATCTGGCTGGAGTATTTTCTGCAAATCCCCCAGCATGACTTTTAATGTTGCTGCAGTCACGGTACTGTATTGTCAGTCTTGGGAGCAGTCTGCGGTAAGATCAAAGGGAGCAATCCACCAGGGCTCTCAGTCAGGGTGAAGTCCTCCGAGGAGTCTGAGTAATCCTCGAAGTCGGCAGCCATCTGTGGACTGTATGCACCACGTGAAAAAGATCGCAGATATTGACGACCGACTTGGGCTTGTCCGGATTCTGTTTTTTTGTGTTTTTCGTCCCATTGTAGGTAAGTGTCTGAAGGTTGTTTTTCCTGACACCAGGAAAAATTGTCGGTTTAACTCTACTCAGGTTGATAAATTTGAGCATATAAAAATTTAATTTGCATTAGTAACTTCTATTTCTTTCTCACAAATGTAAAATTGTGTTCATTTTAGGCCACAAAAGCCAAATTTCTATTATTCATTTGGCATTACTATTAGGTTCTCTTTTTTTTTTCATTTTTTTTTTTTACAAATGATAATGTGCAGTAAATGAATAAATATAATATATTTACTTCTTCAAAGAATCCACTACCCTTACCTGAACACTGTCCATTTGCTGTGGTAAGATGCGCAGAAAATCATCAGGCAAGTTTCCTAATAAAGGAGGATTCCAGTTTTTATACAGTTTTGGAACTTGTGTACCCGTGCAAGTCAACACATCAGTCCTTAAAATAAATCAAAGATAAGATCACTGTGATTATATGAACAAAGCATGGTTAGTAAAATAACTCAATGACAGTTCTCTATTATATAACATAAAGACATTTTGGACAAACATGTATTTAGAAAGCAAACTTTAGGAGTTATACGAGTCAAGTTGTCCAGAAGTTCTGTACAACAGTCTCTAGCTGTATTCCTCTTAACACACATGACACCAAGATATAGGTGTGGACAGACACAGTGGTACACAGTCCTCCTAGATCCTTACTACAGCACAGCATTGTTTTCTGCATAACGGAGGTATGTGCAAAATTAAAGGAACACTAAAGTCACTCAGACCATAAAATCTCAAGGAAGAGGTCTGGGTGCAGTGTCTATATCCACTTCACTCAAATCTTTCCTATGGGGAAAATATGTTTAGCCCACTATGAGGAGCAGTGGATTGGACATCAGAGGAAGTGGTTATACCACCTCTATGCGGTCACTAGTGGAGGAGAGTTAAGCAGAGCCGAGGAAACCTAATAGCACCTAAGAGGGACCTAGAAAGGAGTACAGTAATGGGGTACTATGGTGACAGTAAAACAAGATTTTTATTTCTAATGCTACATTTTTTTCTTTAAGTTGTTCAGTAACTCCAATGCACGGACAAAAGAAAACTACATTTAGAACAGAAAGCTGGAATATATGCACTAAAAGTTAAGTGTAAGAGAACTGATAGGGTACAGGAGATCTAGGATTATTTTAAAAAATAAGGCAATTAATCAGTTCAAATAAGACATGAGCATTTACAAAATGTGTTTAAGTTTCTAATCAATTACAATTTACATATACGACGTGTATTTTGAAACTCAGCAATGCCAGCTCTCAGAGGGAGTTTATCTATGAAAATGCTCTTAAAAGAGCAACCATTAATAGTTTGAGGGATATTTATTTATTTATTTTTATAGTGTGGCCCATGAATCTAAACCATGAAAGCAACACAAACATTCAATATATATTTGTGTTAGGGGCACATAGCCGTATAAGGAGTAACGATCCAGTATAAGCGTAGGATAGTATAAAAGAACAAGTCGGTTGTGGTGTGCCGGAACCGACGATGCGGTAGGCCTGTAAATAAAGACGGCAAAAGTGAATAATCAAAGATTTAATACAGTCAACAAATACATAAAATTAAACAGACATTTCTTTAAATGCATTTCGTTTCTCTTGTACAGGTTTGGGTATGTACCGTGTCTAAGCAGATGATTTCCACCGCCCCAGTGATTTGATAATGTGCACCAGTACGTTGGCACTGGAGGCTGTGGAGGCCGCCCCTATGCGGAAGGAGTGACCTGAGTAGTTAGAAGGGTTGCGGCCTAGCTGAGTTAACAGAGACCTGACATATTTCATGAAGGTAGAGGCAGTAAGCACTGAGCCTTGTAATACAAATAACGGCTGTGATGGTTGTGAGTTGGGGTTTTGAAGGTAGGAGTCTAGGTCCGTAACCGGGCACCATTTGTTGTGGGTAGGATAGTATGTTATCTCTACTGGTGGTGCATGTTGACTCGTTTTAGAATGTGGTAGAGCCAATAGGTAGTGATCCATGTGTTTACGTAGGTGGGATTGTTGAAGACAATGAGTTGTCTGAGTTGTAGTGATAGTAGTAAACTCTCTTGGCCTTAGAAAACCGTAGAAAGCTATGTACATGGCTGTTTTAATTACTGTGTTGGTATTGGAATCGAATGGTTTTAAATCTAATAGGTTATATAAGGATTGGAAAAGGTGGTTGTCTATGGGTAGTCTCTGTGATGTACGTGGGGGATACCTCTGAGTATGTTCTTTATCTGGTATGATAACACGAAGCTCTGGTTGTTTGGCCATAAGGTTAGCATGTGGTGTTGAATGCCTGTCAGATATAATTTTATGGTGGTGTGAGATAGTTTAAGTTTAAGATGGCAAAAAGAAGCAAAGCCTAGGAGAGATGTCATGACAAAAGGTTGAGATATGTTGTGTTCCAACAGGAATCTTTTAAACATGGTGAAGGCTCTGTTATACGTTCTACGATTATTGGACGAAAGTGTTAATTGGGTTAACAGTTCCCTGCTATGTTGCATGAGTATGTCTAATCCATGATTAGGTGCTGGAACGATTGAGTGGCTGTGGCTGCTTGAGAGGCTGTAGGCAGCTCTTAATGAAATGCCTGGAATTTGAATCGAGACAAATTGTCAGCAGCGATGTTAAAAACAGCAGGTACATGAAAGCAAACTAAAAAGAAATTGTGACATGCGGCCAACCAAGTGAGTTTCCTTAGAAATCTCATGATCGTTAAAGATGATGAGCGGCCCTTGTTGATAATATGGCACGTGGTTTGGTTGTCTGAGTAACAACGCACCGCCGACCTGGACCATAAATGACCCAATGCCACAGCAGCCGCCACAATAGGGTAGATCTCAAAAAGAGCTGATGTAGTGTAAAAACCTTCCAAATCCTGGACTTCTACAGGCCAACTGCCCCAAAGCCATTCGTTCCCATAGATTGCTGCAAAACCTATGGTAGACGCCGTGTCTGACCATATGGTTGGTGATGTCTCAGACAATCCTGGGAGGAACATGCTTATGCCATCCCATGTGGTTAAGAACTTTTTCCACATGAGTAGGTCTGCTGTGGCTTGGGTATCTAAGGACAGTCTATGATCGTCATATCGGAAATGTGAAAAAAGCAAAGTAATCTAAATATGAAAGCATGGCCTTGTGGTATGATGCGCATGGCAAAATTTAAGGAACCTAGTAGGGATTGTAGCTCCTTGTGGTTGCAAGAAACAAGCAGAAGGTAGTGATTTCTGTTGTTGAGAATGTTCCCTATTTTGTCTTGTGGTAAACTTGCTTGCATGGATGCAGAGTCAAGTTGGATGCCAAGGAATGTGATGATAGTATCCGGGCCTTCTGTTCTCTTTGGGGAAACTGGGATACCCAAGTGGTCAAACAGGCTTATGGCTTCCTTGAGGCTTCTAGGGGGAAAGGTGTTCTCTTCGACCATCAAGAAGTCATCTAGATAGTATATGATTGTGGGGCATCTGGATATGTTTAATAACAACCAGCAAAGAGTTTCTGCAAAAGTATCGAAAATATTTGGGCTACTCTTTGACCCAAAAGTTAAATCGGGAGAAAAAATAGTAACTGCCTTCCCATTTAATACCATGTAAGTGCCAAAGTGTGGGGTGGATTGATAGCAGTTTGAATGTGTTGATGATAGTCTTACTTAACCAAGCACCATCCCCTGCTTGAATGATGGCTGTAATGGCATGATCAATGGTGGTGTATTGTAAGGAAAACTCCTCGGAGGGTATGAGGGAGTTGTGACTTGGGGTAGCAGAGGTGTGTGGTGCTGATAAGTCTATGATCAGTCTCTGTTTGAGGGAAGATTTTCCTGTGACAATGCCAATAGGGCTTTTTTTCCATGCTGTAAATGGTGGGGATTGGAAAGGCCCGAGTAGAAAGCCCTCTGCAATTTCTTGGGCTATGAGTGTGTTTACAGCCGTTGGGTTCTGCTGTGCTGACTGCAAGTTTGGGCATTCAGGATTCCATGAAGGCATATGTACTATACCCGTACAGAAGCCCTCTGACAACCCAGAGATTAGGAAATCTACTCGATGTCTGGAAGAGTGATGAGTCAGTAATGCTGAAAATGCAGTGATGTTGACAGACGTTAAGTACGGTTTAGGGTACATTTTATTGTGACACATGGTTTTAGCATGTGCCCTGAAACATTTTTAACATATATGCAACAGTCTGCATGCACTGAAACTACACGTACCAACATTAAAATTGTTGCAAATCTGTGATTTTCCAAAAAAGATAATAGGACGACCCAATTTGTCTCTGGTAGTTTTCTCCATTCTACCAGAGGTGCTAGGGACTGGAGCATAAGAGTGATCGTCTGCTGTGATGGGACAAAAGTTGGTCGTGTGGGTAGTAGAAGAGCAGGATGCACAAGCTGGTGTCTTAAGGCCTGCAAAGAATATCTCTGACCAGACACCTTGGCTGAAAAAGATGTATGGTAGTTGTAAAATGCTGTACCACCATATTTGTTAAAAACAGAAATCAGAAAATGAGTGGGTGAAGACGATAATAAAAATAGAATAGGATAAAGTGCAGGCCAGCAACTGACCAGAAGTCACTCCCAACCTCAATATACCAAAGACAACACACCTGAAATGAATTCAGATAACAGGGCGCCACAGTCACTTAAAATACTTCCAAATAGACAAGGGGAGGGTAATCGGTATTAACACCAAATTTAACAGGTTTAAAAAAACAGCACTCCCACACCTAATAAACGCAGCCCGCAGCCTCATCCCGAGACACTGGAAACAACACATGGGCCCGACTATCAGGGAATGGATAACGAGAGTGGAAGACATCAGACGCATCGAGGAACTCATCCACTCTGCAACGGGACGCATACAGCGTTACCATGATGCATGGTACCACTGGCTCCAATGGCTCGCCTCCACCGCATCAATTACGGGGACCACACAACACCTGACAGCAGAGGCAGATGGGACGGCCCTGACGGAACCGACGGACGACAATGCGGAAGCTGAACCACCGACCCAACCAAACCAAGACGACCACTCAGAGCCGGAGATGCCCCTTGCCCCGGAGGCGGGGGGGGTTGAGGTGGGGACCCAGGACCTGACACCCCACCCCCTACCCTCCCGCACCTTACCCTCACCCGCAATGCCCTCACCCCATTAACCTACATTCCCATCCCACCTGCCCCCCACAACACACGTTAAAATACATGACCAACTGCCGACAGGCTGCCTTGAGAATGCAACCTACACTCGCAGAAACGCCACCTCCCTTACAGGACAGACTATACACCACAGCACCCACAAATGACCCACCATGACCAACACATATCGGACAAGGGATGAACCAACCCGACAAGATTGCCCAAACGCCCAATACCCAAGTACACTACACCACGATACCAGAACCCACCCAACCCTCACAACCCGGAACAGCACCCGCTCGACCAATACACCCCCGACGCTAATAGGATCCCCAAACAGACACAGAAGGACACCAAACACAGAAGGGACACCCCAACAAGACTACACCCCGACGCATGGCACACACACAACCACCGCCTACACACACCAAAGAACAGCGACTAGCGCAAAGGGGATACCCACAACAAACGCACACACAGGACAAAAACTACCTGACGGACCCTCGACCCCCAAACGCCCCACTACTCGACAACCACTCCCTACCCCCCACCCCAACGGATCAGTGGAGACGCTCTCAGGAAGCAGGGCTAGACAAGGTCACAGCAGGAGCACTAAAGTTTCTGCCTCTTCGCAGTTTATCTGCTTCCCAACACAAATATACCAATTAAGAAAATGACTGAATCTGAGTGTTCTCTACAGCTTTCATGTCAAACTTGTGAGCGTGGCGAACTCCAGTAGGAAATGTTATTTCTACATATCCCCTTTCGTACAATATAAGGAAGATTAATCATTCTCCTGTTATGTTACATAGTTTTCTCAAAACGATTTTGTATTTTTTAAATATTCTATTTTCCTAAGACTGGTTCCTTCTTGAAAACTGTTAATGCTGAAAGATGTTGCAATGTAGGAATGGAATCAGATGCTCGCTATTGCATTGTAAAATTGCTCTCTTCACATAAATACTAAAGATACCTTTATACCAAATGAACAATAACTGACATGTACACTATTTTTGCCACCTTCTGTATTGATGCATATAACTTTGTATTGCCAATCGTTATGATGTCAATAAAAGCAAATTGAATCAAAAAAAAAAAAAAGCACAAAAAATAAAAAATAAAAAACACCAAATTTATTGAAAATTATAATAATAAAAACCACATAAGGGCAATGGCACTAGACGTGCAAAATAAGCAGAAAATAAACCCTTAGGAATAGCAGCTTAAAATAACATGCTTTTACAGTAAAGTGCATATACAATCATTCAAAGTGCAGGGTGCTAAATGGATAAAGAGCAACAGCTCACTCCCATTGCTCTAAGGCAGGTAAAATCAAATGCACAATAATAAAAACTGTCAAACACTGCAAAACACACAGGCATGTAAAAAAAGACTTCTAGTAACAATGTACAGGGTTCCTGCTGCAACTCAACGCATTTCGTCTGGGTCGACCTTCTCAGGAGCAGCTGGCTTCTTTCCGATCTTCTGTGCTTCAAATATGCCAGTCTGGATATCCAATTACGTGAGTGCGCATGCGCACCCAGCGTCTGCCGCATGTCATACGTAACAACGTGCGGACGGTCGTGCTGCGCATGCGCACCCACGCTGGAACGCATACAGAACTTTATTGACAATATACCCAGCTGCACACTGGATGTTCACTATAAGAGAACGTTCACTATCGATGCGATCCTGTATTTACAGCCCTACCTCAAAGACAATTAAAAGCTAACAAAGTCAGCTAGTACCCTTGTGAACAAATGGACCCGTGTGTAAAATGCCATAAGGGGCAAAATCAATAGAAAATTAATTAAAAAAATATATTAATAGAAGAAAATCTTAAGTGTTGTGTGAGTCCATTTGTAGAACTAGACATTCAACCGAAAACAAAATACAAGGATATCCACTAGGGATAAGCATTTAATCATAAAATATATATATATTAATTCTCTAAACAAGTGTGTACACATAGGACTATAAATAAAAATGAATATAAACATGGATAAACCCAAGGCACATAGTATTAATTGTAGAGAACATATGCATGTACTTAAGGCCAATGGTATCCAAGGTAATAATACGACCTAAAGAGAACAAAGATAGACAATGGTTAAAACCAATATTCAATCCATAAAAGCCAATATATCCAAATCAGTGTTGAGACCTAAGGGGACAGAGGTTTTCATTTTATATATCCATTCTGTCTCCCTTATTGCAAATATTTTTTCCGTATCACCACCCCTCCAATGTGGTGTAATCCTGTCAATCCCAATACACATAACATCTTTAAAACTAAACATGTTACAAGAGATACAGTGTCTAGGGACACTATGTTTCAGACTTTTCTTGTTAATACCATTGAAGTGTTCTAATAGTCTTACATGAAGACTCCGAATGGTACTTCCTATGTACGGTATCCCACACTTGCATTGCAACAAATATACCACATGCTTACTCTGGCAGTTTATAAAGTGCTTTATTTTAAAAGCCTCTTTTGTGGTTGTGCTAGAGAATTCAGTGGTTTTACTTGTTTTAAATTTACAAGTACTACACCTTCCACACTTGTAAAAACCCTTTGGTTTTCCTGATAAAAAGCTAAAACTCTCCCTTGGATCTTTTTTTTGGTAATATGCTTGGAGCTAAAATATTCTTCAAATTATCTGTTTTTTTTATATATCACCCTTGGGTTCCGTGGTAGGATCTTTTGCAATGACTTGTCCTGTAACAGAATTGGCCAGTTTTTACGGGTAGATCTTTCTGTTAGGGAGACAGAATGGATATATAAAATGAAAAACTCTGTCCCCTTAGGTCTCAACACTGATTTGAATATATTGGCTTTTATGGATTGAATATTGGTTTTAACCGTGGTCTCTCTCTGTTTTCTTTTAGTCGTATTATTACCTTGGATACTATTGGCCTTAAGTACATGCATAAGTTCTCTACAATTGCCTTCTTTGCATTTTTATATACCATTTTTTACACATCTTTTATATTTGTCACACTTCCCTACATGTTTTTATTTGTTTTATGTACTGTTGATATGTTCTATCTGAACTTTATATTTATTGTATACAAAGGATAGCTTTTTATGTAGTACCAAGTGTGTACTTTTTAGTATATGTTTTATGTCCCTATGCTATGAAAGATCAATTTTATGGTATTGCCTCTTTGAATATATATTAATTATTTTTTAGCCTTACTGATATAAGATAATTATTATTATTTGTTTGGGCCATACGATTGTCTCCATCCTTATGCCTACTGACATTTTGTATGTATGTATAGATGTTCTAATATATGTTTTTATATCCTTATGCTATGAATTACTAACTTTAATATATTGCTCCTTCCGATTACTGAAATATTGAGTCCTACTGATATAAGATACAATTGTATATATATATATATATATATATATATATATATATATATATATATATATATATATATATATATATAATGTGCCTTGGGTTTATCCATGTTCATATTCATTTTTATTTTTAGTCCTATGTGTACACACTTGTTTAGAGAATTTTATATATATATATATATATATATATATATTTTATGATTAAATGCTTATCCCTAGTGGATATCCTTGCATTTTGTTTTCGGTTGAATGTCTAGTTCTACAAATGGACTCACACAACACTTAAGATTTTCTTCTATTAATATATTTTTTTATTAAATTTTCTATTGATTTTGCCCCTTATGGCATATTACACACAGGTCCATTTGTTTGTTCACAAGGGTACTAGCTGACTTTGTTAGCTTTTAGTTGTCTTTGAGGAAGGGTTGTAAATCCAGGATCGCATCGATACTGAACGTTCTCTTAAAGTGAACGTACAGTGTGCAGCTGGGTATATTGTTAATAAAGTTCTGTATGCATTCCAGCCTGGGTGCGCACGACCGTCCACACGTTGTTACGTATGACGGTGTGGCGGACGCTGGGTGTGCACTCATGAAATTGGATATCCGGACTGGCATATTTGAAGCACAGAAGATCGGAAAGAAGCCAGATGTTCCTGAGGAAGTTGACCTAGACGAAACACGTTGAGCTGCAGCAGGAACCCTGTACATTGGTACTAGCTGTCTTTTTTTACATGCCTGTGTGTTTTGCAGTGTTTTACAGTTTTTATTATTGTGCATTCGATTTTACCTGCCTTAGAGCAGTGGGAGCGAGCTGTTGCTCTTTGTCCCTTTAGCACCCTGCACTTTGAATGATTGTATATGCACTTTACTGTAAAAGCATGTTATTTTAAGCTGCTATTCCTAAGGGTTTATTTTCTGCTTATTTTGCACATGTCTAGTGCCTTTGCCATTATGTGTTTTTTATTATTATAATTTTCAATAAATTTGGTGTTAATACTGATTACTCTCCCCTTGTCTAGTTGGAAGTATTTTAAGGGACTGTGGCGCCCTGTTATCTGAATTCATTTCAGATGTGTTGTCCACCATATTTGTTGCCTAGGTCTACTTGTGCATGTATAGATCGAATTCTTCCCTTCTGTTTGGGTAAACTGCACAAATCACATCTCTATAAATGCCAAAAGCTAAAAAACTCTGGGATGGTCAGTTTCCTGTTTAACCTTGAATCCCTGGATCTGACCACCACAGATAAAATCATCATAAGCATATGTTTTATATTCGAAATATATCCTGGGAGGCAATAGCTAAATGAGCTTCAGTTTATTTTTTTTATTTTTTTTTTTTTTATTATTCTTTATTTTTCTGTGCAAGGGTTTTACCAGCATGCTTAAAGTGCCACAACAGCATATGTAGGGTGATCAATGAGGATTACTATCTTGGCACGTAGAAACTGCACATTTTTAAAATTAATAGTATACGTCAGAAGATAGAAACACACGTGGTAGATACATCATGCTATGCCACTTGACAGTCTAGTGCAGGCATAGGCAACCTTCGGCATTCCAGATTTTTGGATTTATGGGAGATGTAGTCCACAACATCTGGAGTGCTGAAGATTGCCTATCCCTGGTCTAGTAGGTCAATATAAGTGATCTAGGCATGTGTGTCTAAGTTAGTAAGTTAAACTCAACAAGCATAGTACAAGATATATGTTGTCCTACAATTGCCACAGAGGAGGCTGCAAGAATAGGCTCACACTACAGGGTAAATAAGAACTGAGTCAGGCTGAGGAATAACTGACATATAAACAGAAAGGTCATTAGCATGTAAAGGACTGTCAACTGTGCATTGGAACCATAACTTATAGCTAAGAACAGTGTGAGTCCTCAGGCCAGTCCACATAAATCAGCCAATTCCCAGATTGGAAATGTGGATAATCCCGGAATGGGAGTCTATGTGCTTCCCTAGCTGCACTCCAAGACTGTGTGCTTCTCCCTTAGGGCGTATGACGCCATCTCTCCGTTCACGATAGGGAAAGGCACATTTGAATTGGCCATCGGCCCTGCTCCGGTACTGTGGGACCCTACATATGGATTCGAAGTCGCGTAGATAGTCTCTTGGGGAGGACGTCCCCCCCTTTCTGCCCAGTCTCCAAGTGGGCCCATGTGCACCACCTCTGAGGGCTCTTACCGATGCAGCACTGCCTGAGGCGCTCATTTGCGATTTATGGTGCTCAGCCTTGATTTCTGCCTCATGCCTCTCCTGTATGCCTTTCTAAAAGTCATCACACACTTGGTCGAAGCAGGCCAGGAACGCACACTGAAGCTGCTCGTGGTCTGCACTAGGGATCGACCGATTTTTTTGCGCAGATACCGATAATCGGCTGATAGCCGATAACTTACCGATATTCTGTACATTAACCATTTTGAAAAAATTAACAATTTCTAAAGGTAAATGCACAAAATATACATGCCACATGTAGTAAATGCAGTGTGTTTAGACAGCGGTGTTTGTGTAGTGTGTGTATAGTGAATGCAGTGTGCGTGTAGTATGTGTATAGTGAATGCAGTGTGTATGTGTTTGTGTAGTGTGTGTATAGTGAATGCAGAGTGTGTATATAGTGAATGCAGAGTGTGTACTGTGTAGTGTGTATATAGTGAATGCAGTGTGTGTTTGTGTAGTGTGTATACAATGAATGCAGTGTGTTCGTGTAGTGTGTAGATAATGAATGCAGCGCGTTTGTGTAGTGTGTAGACAAGGAATGCAGTGCGTTTGTGTAGTGTGTAGACAAGGAATGCAGTGCGTTTGTGTAGTGTGTATACAAGGAATGCAGTGCGTTTTTGTAGTGTGTAGACAAGGAATGCAGTGCGTTTGTGTAGTGTGTATACAAGGAATGCAGGGTGTTTGTGTAGTGTGTATACAAGGAATGCAGTGTGTTTGTGTAGTGTGTATACAAGGAATGCAGTGTGTTTGTGTAGTGTGTATACAAGGAATGCAGTGTGTTTGTGTAGTGTGTATATAATGATTGCTTAGTGTGTTTGTGTAGTGTGTGTGTATAAAATGAATGCAGAGTGTGTGTGTGATTGTGTATACAATGAACGCAGAGTGTGTGTGTAGTGTGTGTATATAATCAATGCAGAGTGTGTGTAGTGTATGTATATAATCAATGCACAGTGTGTGTGTAGTGTGTGTGTGTGTGTGTGTAGTGTGTGCGTTTCTGTAGGTATTTAAATTTTGTAAAATGGGGGGAGGGGGAGCATTTTTTTTTAATATATATATATATATATATATATATATATATTATTATTATTTTTTTTTTTATTCCTTCCTCCCTGCTTCTTACTTGGCCAGGGAGGATGGATATGGTATTCCATGGTGGTCTGGTGGCATGGACTGTACAGTGGGGGGCCCCCGGCAAGCTCTACCTTCTCAGCAGCTCCCTTCAGCTGATACCGATATTGCCAAAATTACCAAATATCGGCCGATAATATCAGCCAGACCGATAACCGGTCGATCCTTAGTCTGCACTGCTTCCATGGATCCTCTTGGTGTCTGCTTCCAGCATTTTAGGTATGCAGCGCGTGCACGGCTTAACAATTATCGTAGCCTGGTTCCGTAAAGCTAGTCAGCTGTAGGGTACCGGTGCATAACCTCCGCCGGTCCAGTTGGCTTTTTTTCGTTTTTTGCACTATTATGGAGCGAACTCGCCTGCCTTGCGTCCGCTTAGTTTGTCAGACAAGCACTGCCCCAAATATATTTATTTTTAACGTTTCAGTGTTCTTTCATTTAGTAAAAAAAATGCTTTGACGTGTGTGTGTGTTTGTTTGTTTGTTTCTGGACTGGCATCATGACCGCTACTAACACCAATGCAACCTTTATAAGACTTTGGAAGTTATTAAAGGGACATCTCTCCTAAACCACATAAATGCAACCACTATATGTAAATTAAAATATAACACATTTGTTCTAAATATCAGATTATTAACTTGTTTATTTCTAGTTCACCCTTTAACCCCTTAAGGACCAAACTTCTGAAATAAAAGGGAATCATGACATGTCATGTGTCTTTAAGGGGTTAATCTGTTTAGGCAAATCATATAATCATGACAGTTCTGCCATGTCGTCGGTAATGAATGGATTGATAATATTTCTATTGCATCACCTACCTAAGAGGTGGAGCAGGAGGGTTCTGTGCATGTGATCTGTCAAATGAAGGGATAAAGGTAGGAGGAGAGTAAATGGGTGGAGGTTCCTCATCAGAACTGTCTGGTTCTAGAGTCCTTTCCAAGATCTGTAGATGAAGAAAATAAAAATGCAATCATCAAATTAAATGCTGGTCATCTAAGAGTGTTTTTTGAATGCTTATTATACTCACTGTTGACCTTTTCAATTATGATTATTTCTGATCAAGGAGTATTTTAGATTTAGAAAAACTGCACGGTTTACATTGCAGGGCTAAGACTGGTCTAGTGGCGCTACCTGCAGTTTTACAGATGACGCTGGACAGCCGCACGCTTTGCACGAGGATGTCCAGTGTCCCCCATAAGAAAGTAATGATTCAATTCTTTCCTATGGGGAAGGATTAATGTGTGCTCTGTGTCCTTGTGTTCTATTTATATATAGATTCCCAGACAATAATTTGTATTGGCCCTTAACCCCTTAAGGACTGAGCCAAATGTACACGTTGTGATCAAAACAAAACGTAAACAAAATCTGGAATTTGACTATAGATCTGCTCAACCGTAATTCACCTCTTCTTATTAAGTGCATCCACACTTCTTATATACCATTTTATTCAGGGGAAACAGGGCTTTCATTTAACATCAAATATTTAGCTATGAAACAATTTAATATGAATAAAATATAAAAGAATGGGAGAAAATACTTTTGTGAATGTCATAATACGGTTTGCTTTTACTGCAATAAAATACACATATTTATATTTAGCGATGTCTCAAGTGTAAAACAGTACAGTGTAAAACTTATGTACAGTGTCAAATAAAGCCTTTGGGACCGTATGGTAGCTCAGGAATGAGAATTACCCCCCGTGATGGCGTACCGTTTGAAATAGTAGACAACCCAAGGTATTGCAAATGGGGTATGTCCAGTCTTTTTTAGTAGCCACTTGCTCACAAACACTGGCAAAAGTTAGCGTTAATATTTGTGTATGAAAAATGCAAAAAACTAATTTGAACACCAATATTGGCCAGTGTTTGAGACTAAGTGGCTGGACATACCCCATTTGCAATACCTTGGGTTGTCTACTATTGCAATTGGTATGCCATCATGGGGGTAATTTTCATTCCTGGGCTACCATACAGTCACAAAGGCAACGTAAACAAACTGGCGAATTTCAATGTGAAAAAACTGAAACACAAGCCTTATCATCTTTGACTAACTTTTGAAAACACCATAAAACCTGTACATGAGGGCTACGGTTATACTTGAGAGACTTCGGTGAACACAAATATTAGTGTTTCAAAACAGTAAAACGTATCACAACAATTATATAGTCCATGTAAGCGCCATTTGTGTGTGGATAATGCAAAAAAGGTCACTTTCACTGACAATATCATAGTTGTTTCAAAACCGTAAAATGTATTACAACGATATCGTCAGTGAAAGTGACCTTTTTTGCATTTTCCACACACAAATGGTGCTTACACGGACAATATAATTGTAATATGTTTTACTGTTTTTTTTTTAATTCTTTATTTTTGTTCGTGCATATAATGACAGTTAGGTCTGTTACGCCACAACAGCGGTAAGAGACCGATATACAACAGTTAGTATCATGGCATAGGAAATACTGTGCACAATTATTAATTTTGCGGCTAGATACATGTTGGAACGATATGCAGTTATAATTAAGTTGCTTAGAGGTTAATAAAGTTACACTGTGTAGTCTAACATTGGAACAAGTAACCAAAATAAAAATTATACAACATTCTAAGATTAATGCATATTTTCTTGTACACATAACACAGCCGTAGTGGTGAGAGAAGTATGCACTGTGAGTTATGGTGGGTTATCGAAGGCTGGATTGTATTAGTGCAGGTAGGGTGGTGTGTTCTTCTGGACGGGACTGTCATAGAGTATGTCTATGTGTTTAGGCATGTCTACCGTGTGATTGCATTGCTTGGGGGTGCGTGTAGTGTCTGCTAGTTGGTAGCTTAAGAGGGACCTTCATGGTCACATGCGCGGGGGTTAGCGCTCTCATGAGGGGAGCCAGGTAGAGGTTAACTGTCAGCTCCTGGTTACTGGGCAGGTAGTTTAGGGTGCCTGTGTGGTGTCAGGAATGCGAAGGGTAGCTCGGCATCTACCTAGTGAGACCACCCATAGTGGGTCCTAGTGTTAACGGGTGATGTGCGTATGTCGGTGGGTAAAGGAGTGCCGCCCTCTGCAGAGCAGGGTGTTAGCTCATCTGGGAGCAGTAGTCCAAAGTGAGTTCATTATGTTAGGCTAGAGTCCCGGCAAGGTAAGTTATAGTCCTGATGTTTCAAAATTGTCAGGTGGTGGCTGCTTCTTTAGGTACACCGGTGTGTCTTCTAGGGACGAATTCTGCAGCGCCGGCCATGCTCCATGTCGGTGGGTTCGTATGCCTGTCCTTTGGTGTCGGTAAAGCCGGTAGGTCCGGTGGGAGATTCAGCTGTCTTAGTGTCGCTGGTGCCTCCTGCATGCTGCGCACTGTGAGTGTGGTGTCGCCCTTGGTGACCATTAGAGTATGAACCGGGCCCCAGCGGTACCTGATGCGTTGTGCTCGCAGGAGGGAGGTCAGTTGTTGCAGGGACCTCCTCCAAGCCAATGTTGCCCCTGAGAGATCAGGGTAAAAGGTGAGAGCCATTTCTTCAAAGTGGTAGGCTGGTTGATCTCTGGTGGCTGCTAATACTGCAGCTCTATCCTTGTAGGCTTGGAACTGCAGGACGACATCTCTCGTAGCTGTGGCTGGGGCCCCATTGGGCTTTGGGATGCGAAAAATTCCGTCTATTGACACCGCTTTGGCAACCCTCTGGGTTAGTAGAGCCGTAAGGAGCCGCCTAATAACATGGGGTAGTTCAGCATCAGGAATATTGTCGGTGATGCCCCTGACCTTAAGGTGCTTTAGGCGGCGTTTGTCTTCAAGTGCGGCAAATCGGAGGTCGTTCTGCCCAGCTAGCTGTTTCAACTCCTGAACCTCCTGTTGCAGCGCTTGTATTTGGCCGGTTTGGGTGGTCATGGTGGTTTCCACGGTCCCGATCCGTCCGGTGAGACCCTGTAATGTGTCTCTAATCGAGGCGACATCTGCCGCAATCTTTTTGTGATGTTCCGCCATAAGGTCTCTAATGGCTTCCATGCTCACCGGCGTGGGGGCCATAGTAGTCGGCAGGGGTTGCATTGGGGGTTGCGTTCGAGGTGGTGATGGCTGAAGCTCCCCTTCACCCTCATCCGACGTCTCTTCATAGAAGTCAGAGCACCCGCCGTGTAGGGACGCCATATTGGAGCCTGTGGCGCCTCGTGCTTGCCGCCATAACTCGCCGATATCCATGCCCCTCGTGGGTCTTTCGGGTTTGAGTTTTTTGGTTTTTCGTCCCATTGGACTCTGCTGCGCGCTGGGCTCACCCAGGGGTGAGTGTGGCACTTGTAAGAGGGTTAAAAGTGGGTTCTTTTCCGTATCGCGGCCCGGAGCTCAGAGGGCATGCGACCGTTCTCTTCAATCGCTAAGCACCGCCGTTTTACTGGTTTTAAACACTAATATTTGTGTTTAGCGAAGTCTTCCGAGTAAAACAGTACCCCCCAGCTACAGGTTTTATGGTGTCTTGGAAAGTTACAGGGTTAAATATAGTGCTAGAAAATTAAATTCCCTGGACTTTCGGCCTGGGTTGTCAGGCAGGTCTTGCAAATTGTAATTAATAAAATGTAATTAAATGCCCCCCAACCCCCTCTTGTCCGCACGAACTGCAGACCCAAGAAAGGCAGGGAGGGATTTTCATTTGACACTTGCCGCATACCGGCGTTCACCATTAACCCCTTCACCAACAGTTCATTCTCCCTATACACGCACCCTTGCACGCAGACTGTCTTTGCTTGTCAAGCACCAGATTGACAGTTATGCCGACTGATTGACACATTGTGGCTTGGTATAGATGTTATTAGATTGTGTCATTACGCTGTTTAGTTGGGATAGAGTCTGACTAAAACTTTTTAAGTCAGAAGGGAGGTGGAAGCACTTTTTCTGTATACTGTTATTTGAGGGGGATTATTTTCAGGTCTGTTCGACATACTCATATTATGTGTCAGTTAATGGAGATTGCCGTTCTTCTTTATAGGATATAGTGTGGCATTACTAAAAGGGTACGTGTACAATTACAAATACGTTTCTTATGGCAAATCAATACGTGCTCACTTTACATCACCTTATCAGTTGCTGATCTAGATAAGTGATTTAAGATTTAAACTATCTCGCTAGGTTAGTGATGGTTACATACTCCCCCTTTTTTTCTCCCTACCAAGCATACGCTCTCCACGGTTACTATAGTCACGTCATATTACGGTTTTAATTACATATATATATATATATATATATATATATATATATAGTCCTCCAGCAACACTAGGGTACCACAGCTACTTATATATTGTTAAAGTATAAGCATCACGGTGGCTACACTAATGGAACAATGATGTTATTTCAGGAAACATCACGGTATTCACACTAGTTCCTGGAGGGGGAAGAATGATTATCCTAGCCTAGATAGCAATACGCATGTACTGAAAAAATTTGAATCACCTTAAAACGATGGGAGCATAAGTCATAATACGTTGTAATTCATGGACGTGTATACTTATGTCTTATAGTAAGTCTTGTTATGGTATTTATAGACTATCATCGGACACTTCAAAAATATCTGATACTACAACTTATAGACCTTGCCCTAAGAATTTCCAAATCTCATTCATTCTGTACAAACCAGTTAGGCCATTATTCCTTTGACTATACTATGGTCTTAAGGTTCAATTTCCTTAGATATAATTTTCCCTTCTACGTACTTTAGGAGCACCAATAATCATTGAACCTCCAAATTACTTGGCTTACACACTCAAGTTTCATGTCTTACAGGTACATTCCCTTGTGACATATATTCATATCTCCCCGCTCTTTTCAGTCCCTTAGGGAAGTGAGTTACTGACTATCAGGGCAATAGGAGCCATATTTAGCTTTCTAAAGGCCTTCTACGCCTTATACTAGTGGTCCGCGATGCCAAAACTCATACTCTGAAGTATTCGGCCCTCGATCCAACGCATAGCTAGCCGCCTCGCAAGTTACATAGAGAGGGCCTCACCGGTCACTGCCAATTCTATTTTCTTTTACACCTCACGGAGAGGCCAACATCCCACCACTACGTTCAGTGGTATAGCCCCTCAGTCCAACGCATAGATAGAGCCTCTCAAGCCGCTTGGGCCTCATCTATCACCACTTAAGCGAATATCTTTGCCACCAGTCAGCAGCCAATACCCTACAAATAAACATTCTAAATCTCAAATTTTCCTTTCAGAATGTCACAAGCTCCAGAAGAGGGAGATAAGCTTTCACTCCCTAGCACTCCAGCTAGGTCTTGTTTACCTTCTAGAAGACAAGAATCTGCCAGCTCTTCATCGATAAGGTCATGGACCATACCACGCATTCAAACAGAACTAAGGAGAAGGAGCATTCCATTCCCGGCTACTGCCAAGAAAGCGGCATTGTTCAGATTTATGCACACGAACACCAATAACTCTGAAGCAGGGGAGGGGTCTAGTGGTATCATCAACATGCCCGACTTACAGACCATGATGAACTATCTCCTATCTTCCATGGGCCAGATCAGAGACCGAATCGACAAATTAGAGTCGGGCCACTTGGCAACTAACCCACCATTGTCCAATACTACATCCCTAGCAGCAGCTACAGCGATTCTACAGGGTAATGTTGTGGCCACTGTATCACAGATAGATACACTGATGATCACACCTGCTCATATGGTGCCTGCTCAGATACGTAAAGATGTCCTGGAGGGTAAGGATGTGAATCTGATATCGCTCCTTATTGTTGCCCAGGATATAGTGGAAAATAAGACCTATGCTTATGGGGGACCTATCAGTAGTCCTCAAAGCCAGAGATCCCAGACTCAGAAAAAAAACAACAACTCACCATCCCTGAGTTCGTACTGGTGTTTGGGATCTATAGAGACTGTAGTATGTACCAATTTGCCTCAGAGAAAAGAAGAATTGGATACTGGTTAACTTGGGGCACAAATATGGCGGGTTTGCTTTCTATGATTGTCACAGGTCATTTTCAGCTAAAGCAACTCTGGCCCAGTTTAATACTGTTAACTGGAGTAAGCGGGATACACAGTTGTTTTGCAGGCATTTCGCCGGCCTCAGGACGCCAGCTTGTGCTTTATGTTCTTCAACATCCCACAGTACTAATCTCGGTCCCGCTGACACCAGAGTAGCAGTTCAGCAAAGCCCTGGGTTGCCAGCAAGGTCTGAGAAGGTTATAAAGGATAAGCTTGGCAGGCCTATTGTATTCCTTGGCAAATTCGTAATAATTTTAATGCAGGGGCCTGCGGGTTTAGTGCTTGTAGACTGTTACATATATGTACCCTATGTTTTCGTGCTCATTCCAAGACAATGTGCCCTAATAAACTGCATTCCAAACAGTATTTCACATCTGTAAATGTGATTCAGTTGTCTCAACTTTTAGTATCTCACCCTTCTCCACAGTTCACTGAATTCTTGGTTTCAGGGTTTTCACACGGGTATCGTAGCGTTCCCTACCGGTATCACTGAAAGTAAAAACCTACAGTCAGCTGTCAACGACCCAGGGTCAGTTGATTCACTGTTAATGCAGGAACTGAATCAAGGGTTGATCATAGACCCCTTTTCCACACACCCCTTTTCTAATTGGCGTACAAACCCTACAGGCATTGAAACTGGGAAACACAATTTAAAAAAAGAGACCATTGCCAGTTTGAATTCATTGATTCCATCGGAAGCATGGTTAAGCAAAACACATTGTAAATGCCTTTAAGATGCTTCCAATTCACCCTTCTTTATGGCATCTACATGGTATTAAGTGGCAAAACCAGTATTACTTTTTCAACAGGCTAACATTTGGGTCAAAAAGTAGCCCAAAAATATTTGAAACCTTTGCAGAGGCCTTATGCTGGTTGCACTTAAACTCATGTAGATGTTCATCAGTACTGCACTATCTGGATGATTTTCTCTTCATAGAGAGTTATCATAACCCACCACAAAGCCTTCATGAAGCCAGGCGGCTGCAACTGTAAATATTGGAGTTTTCATAAACTGCAATATTTAACTTGCAGGGTTTACTCCTCCTCTAGTGGCTGTCTACTAGACAGCCACTAGAGGGCACTTCCGGGATTGTAGCACAGATTTTCTAGCACAGATGTGAGGACCTCCCGCGTCGCTAAAATCCCCATAGGAAAGCATTAAAAGCATTTTCAATGCTTTTCTATGGGGAGGTCTAATGCGCGTGCGCTGCATTGATGGATGAAGTCGGCGGACCCTGAACCAGTGCCGAGGGACATCGGCGCTGGGAACAGGTAAGTCACTGAAGGGGTTTTAACCCCTTCAGCAACATGAGATGGGGGTGGGAGGGAGAGGGGACCTGCAGTGCCAGTAAAATGGTTTGTTTTCCTGGCACTGGAGAGTCCCTTTAAATTTGGCTATGAGAATCATCCCGCAGAGCAGGTCTTTCGTTTTTAGGCTTCTACAGGTGATACTCGAAAAATTAGAATATCGTGCAAAAGTTTATTTCAGTAATGCAACGTAAAAGGGGAAACTAATATATGAGATAGACACATTACATGCAAAGCAAGATAGTTCAATCCGTGATTTGTCATAAGCGCGATAATTATGGCTTACAACTCATGAAAACCCCAAATCCACAATCTCAAATCCGCAATCAATAAAACAAGGAGTGTACATAGAGCAATATCGGACCTCTGAAAAGTATAAGCATGCATGTGGACTCAGTACTTGGTTTGGGCCCCTTTTGCAGCAATTACTACCTCGTGGCAAGGAAGCTTTCAGCCTGTGGCACTGCTGAGGTGTTATGGAAGACCAGGATGCTTCAATAGTGGCCTTCAGCTCTTCTGCATTGTTCGGTCTCATCTTTCTCTTGACAATGCCACATAGATTCTCTATGGGGTTCAGGTCATGCGCGTTTGCTGACCAATCAAGCACAGTAATCCCACGGTCATTGAACCATGCTTTTGGCAGTGTGGGCAGGTGCCAAGTCCTGCTGGAAAATGCAGTCGGCATCCCCATAAACCTCGTCTGCGGGAGGAAGCATAAAGTGCTCCAAAATCTCCTGGTAGACGGCTGCGTTGACCCTGGACTTAATGAAGCACAGTGAACCAACACCAGCAGATGACATGGCTCCCCAAATAAACACAGAATGTGGAAACTTCACACTGGACTTCAAGCATCTTGCAGTGTGTGCCTCTCCATTCTTCCTCCAGACAAATGTTGCACTCATCAGAAAAGAGGACTTTGAACCACTGAGCAACAGACCAGGTCTGTTTTTCTTTAACCCAGGTAAGACGCTTCTGACGTTGTTTGTTGTTCAGGAGCGGCTTGACAAGAGGAATACGACATCTGAAGCCCATGTCAAGGATCCGTCAGTGTGTGGTGGCTCTTGATGCACTGACTCCAGCCTCAGTCCACTCCTTGTGAAAGTCCCCAACACTTTTGAATGTCCTTTTCCTGACAATCCTCTCCAGGCTGCGGTCATCCCTGCTGTTGTGCACTTTTTTTCTTTCACATAACTTTCTATTAATGTGCTTTGATACAGCACTTTGGGAAAATCCAACTTCCTTCGCAATTACCTTTTGAGGCTTTCCCTCTGTAAGCTGTAAATCACTTACCTTGTCGGTCCGCCGACATTGGGATCAGTCGGACCACCACTCCCACGTCCAGAAAAGATGCATCTAGCATCAGACACGCCGGCCGCTATGCGCCCACTTCTTTTAAAGAGACAGTACATGGTACCAAAACCATGTGACCAAAGGAGCTCTAAACGAAAGAGCTCAACGTACAGGTACCTTTTGGAGGCGTGGCTATGTTAATCACGCTCCCAATCATATAAAAGCCCAGTCTGCCTCCTAAATCCGTGCCCTGCTCTGGTTCCTAGTACCTCCTCAGCGTGTTCCTGTGTTCTTTGACTGTTCTTTGTGTACTGACCCGGCTTGCCTTTGACTACTCTGATTTCTGTTTTCCCTGACTCTATGTTCCTCAATTTTGTGTATTTCTGTGTTCCTTTGACGTTGGCTTGTTTCTGGCCATTCTAAGGACCGGTTTAGGGACTTTCTGTCTTTCTTTATTGTTTTTCACATTGCGTATTGGGTATCGTGATTACACCCTACTTATGTGGGGGTGTCAATGATGGTTTTTTTTGCACAACTGTCAGGTCAGCAGTCTTACACATGATTGTGATTCCTACTGAACCAGACAGACCCTTTTAAAGGCTCAGAAACCCTTTGCAGGTGTTATGGCTTACTTAGCCGATTAGAGTGGGACACTGAGTCTAGAATATTGCACCTTTTCACAATATTCTAATTTACGGAGATTGTGGATTTGGGGTTTTCATGAGCTGTAAGCCATAATCATTGCACTTATGACAAATCACGGCTTGAACTATCTTGCTTTGCATGTAATGCGTCTGATATATTAGTTTCCCTTTTTACATTGCATTACTGAAATAAATGAACTTTTACATGATATTCTAATTTTTCGAGTATCACCTGTATGTCTATTGCCTAGCCTGCCCTCCGAGGACAGTGAGGTTTCTCTGGATTCTCAGGCCACAGCAGATTTATGCATGTGGCAGAATTTCTTATTCCAATGGAATGGGAAGTCCATGTTCATACTTCCACTGTCCCCAGATTCCCCAATGTTGTGTTCAGATACAGTGGCTTCTACTGGTTTTGTGGCCATCTGTGGTGATGCAGTTGGCCGCCCGAGACCAGAACATTGGAGGCCTTTGATCAGACTTCAGCAATTGCTGGAGATTTACCATATTGTGGCAGCAACATGGGGACACTCCTGTCAGGACACACAGTGCATTGTTTTTCAGACAATCAAGCAACTTGTCACATCAACAACAAAGGCCGGTCCCCCTCGCTAGGCATTATGAGTTTTGTTAGACAATTAACTTGGCTCGCAGCAACTCATCAGTTCTTTATATGTTGCAAAAACGTGCCTGGTGCTCAAAACACAGCAGTTGACCATTTGTCCCACTTCAGTTTTCTGGAATTCCACCTACTACATCCCAATGCCTCCATGGTAGCAACTCCGGCCCCTCAGTTTCAAGAGCTCATCTTGGATTAGGCCAACTCCTACCACATGGCAGAATGCTGTCGCAATACGCTTTTTTCGAAAACACCTAGCGAGCATACAAATGAGCTCTCTGTAGCGGATGGCACCAGGCGACCCTACAAATATACTGTATATACCTGCATTCGTGTATCTGCTGTGTTTTCTATGTGTTAAAGAGAATTGTATTCCTCTGATTGTTCGGTAGTTTCATTCCCTTAGTTTATTCGAATGAAACTACCGAACAACCAGACCTCCCCTGTGTGAAGTGTGTCCTCAATTACACGTTGCAACATTGTTGCGAACGGGTAATTGAATAGTAAGTAGCCGTCCTTTGTTCTCGGGGGTGGCCGCCATTCGACAAACGAACACGTGGCGGCGGCCATTTCAAAACTCCCGAACAGCGGTGTTTTGCCGTCGAGTGTCTGGAACTAAAATCGGACACTCGAGTAGGCGAACACAGCTGAGACCTCCACAACCCTGGTCCGTTCGGTTCCAAACTACAGAACGGCCCCTCGTTCGGTAGATAGAAAATACCGAACGAGGGGATTCAGGCGAACCCTCCCTAGCCTCTATAGCTAGAGGTTTTCGTGTATTTTGTTCCCTTATGCCAGGACCGACCGCAGGGCCCATTCACATGGAACCGAATTCGGCTATCTCAGTTAGTGCGGTCGGTCATTTTATTCCCTCCATACATTTCCCGAACCCCTGGTCTGATCTGGGTGATTTTTGGATATGTTGTTCACCCAGATCAGGGGTATCCGGGGATGTAGGATTTAAAGTGGTACCCCTACGTTTAGGGGTACATCCAGAAACGGGGGGAATTGGTGTGCTGGATAAGGGGATTATGATGCTGGCTGAGGGGAGGAGATGTGTGGGAGGTTACCAGGACAGGATTGGCTACTGTAATAATTACTGTAAATCCCTCCCTTGCATGGGAGCATGCTTTATAAGGAGACTGTGGATTAAAAGCTTGCAGTTCTGCTCCTGAAACTGTGTGTCGTCCGGTTATTGGGATTGCTTTTGGGATATTGCTGTATTTTACCTGCTGGAAGCCTTGTCTGTGGATTTACTATTTACTTGTTCCTGAGACTCACTTGGATTATAAGCGAAGATAACCTGGGTAATATTGCATCTCCGCTACACTCTCGATATTTTTGTAAAATTTACTAGGGACTTCCCGGTGGTAGACATGTACACAATGGAATCTTTGGTGGCTTTTGCTTCCTTTTGCCACCTCAATTTACATTTGTCCTACAATACCATCAAACTTTACCTCACAGGGTTACAACACCACATGCTAACCCTATTCCCAAACCAACAGACCTTCATATCATCTTACCAAATCAAGACCTTATTAAAAGGAATCCAGAGGTGTAGTACGACAAACGCCACAAAGATTACCAACTAATGGGAGCTTGTTCAGGTCACTGTCAGACCTATTTGGATAACTCCATATTAGAATCCATGACCAAGTAGACCTTAAAAGTCGCAATATATTTAGCTTTTTACGGATTCCTTAGGCCCAGAGAATTCACTACCATATATACTACCGATTTAAGGTCCTGTTTTAAAATTGCCCATATAATCAAACATAAATAACACTATTTACTCTCACTACTACATACCAAGACAAGTCAACCTGGGAAAACCATCACAATTCCCTATTACAACACATTTAATAGATGGTGTCCAGTAAAGACTTTAGATGCCTATCTGAATAACTTGAAGGCACCAACGAATCACCCTTTACTTACCTTACAAGGCACCATCCTCACTACAAGCAAATTCATACTTTATGTTAGAATCATGTTGATGAGACTAAGCCTTAACCCCTCACACTACTCTGGACATTCATTTAGGATGGGGGCAGCCTCAGCAGCCTTCTAAAAGGAACATACCTACTCATATTATTAAGTCATTGGGGCGCTGGAAATATACAGCATACTGTAGGTACATTCCACAACCCGAGAAAGAAATTAGACAGGCATTCCAACACTTGGCATTATGATATTATGTTGTAATAAGTTGTTGATTTAAAAAATTATTTTGGCATACATCTTACGTACTTTACCGCTGAAATCTCATCGCAAGCCAAATAATTTGTCCCTAGATGGACAAGTACATCCAATCCCCCTTCCTGCTTTGCTCGCTTAACAATATTACAAATACGTCTCCTTTCTCTGTGAGCAGTAGCTCCAGGAAGACATCTCACAAGACCACTATTGTCCAGCTCCACACCTCTTATGATAGAATCCCTTAGAGGACCACTACAGTGCCAGGAAAACATACTCGTTTTCCTGGCACTATAGTGCCCTGAGTGTGCCCCCACCCTCAGAGTTCCCCTCCCACCGGGCTCTAGGATGACGAAGGGGTTAAATCTTACCTGGTTTCCCCCGCCGGGCTCTCTCGGCACGGGGAACTCTCCTCCTTTTCGCCGTCATCGGCTGAATGTGCATGCACGGCAAGAGCCGTGCGCGCATTCAGCCAGTCCATACGAAAGCATTCTCAATGCTTTCTTATGGACGCTAGTGTCTTCTCACTGTGAAAGTCACAGTGAGAAACGCGAAAGCGCCTCTAGCAGCTGTCAATGATATCGTCAGTGAAAGTACAGTTTCAGTGTGAAAACAAAATTGCAAAAAACTGATTTTTACACTGACGATTATACATGTCTGATCAGTCAAGGAAGTGATACTATAATTCTAGTGTGTGTGGGGTAACCTAAGACGCCCAGACAAAGTCTTGGTGGTGGCAGTAAATTGTGTACTAGGGTGTTAGTGTAGGATGTATTGCAGGGGTTAATTTAGTGAAACTAACAACAGGTAACCAGGGATCTGGTGTCATTAATTTCACTTTCACACTCTCCCCACTGTCTCGGCTGGGCCAATAGCCCACGTTCGTGACAATCTCTATACATCTTTGGGATATATGGTGTATTCAATGTATGTGGGAGCATTTGGTTTTTTTTTTTTTTTTTCTTCTCTACAGGTTCACTTTAAGATGTATTGGCAACCAGATTTAGAGGTTCCTATAAAGTATTTCTAAATAGACATTACATTTTCCTTTAATTGGTCCAACTGATTAACGAAGAATCATTTATTAAATTGTTTTTTTTGTGTTTGTTAAAATTGCTTCATCAAGTCAGGGAGGTGTTTGCAGTGTGTTGTACTTTTTTTTCCAGGTTCAGACATCTGCTTTAATCTCATCCCATATTGTACTTTTATAAGAGAAAGGAATACTAAGCAATAGCCTACAAATTAAAAAAACTGGGCAGGACAGCAAATTATGATCATTGCTAAATGTGTAGAAACATGTGTTTATAGGATGAACCACGGTCAATCTCCAATACACTCGCAACAAGTTACCCACTATTCACCATTTTTTGTATATTCTTTGAAGGAAAACGACAGCATTAGGAATACAAATCCGTATGCCCAACTCTGTACGGCCCTTGTTCACCTTCTTCCAGGACTCAAGACTCCTTCAGCACTTTCATGTCTCCACCTTCTGTAGCATCATCAAGGAGGCTTGTCATCCTCTGACGATTTTCCAATGCATTGAGAATCCCATAGGAAAGCAGTATTGAATGCCTTCCTATAAAAATCCATGTCACATGATGAGTTTTACTTATTCAGGGCATTGGAAGCCTCTCCCAGTAGCTGTCAGGGAGACCGCCATTAGTTGTGGATTTAAATCTGCAATGCAAAATTTGTATTTTTTTTTTTTTTTAAGTGCAATGATGTAACAAGAATATGTGCATATTGGTCAGCATCAGATCAAAAATACAACAATATTCGATGTATTGCATGCTAGTTGCAGGATGCACATTTTTAAGTATGAGAAGCATCATGAATACAGTTCTATCCAATAACAGAAAGAGTGAGATAGGTCATAAGATAGAACTGTAGAGGAGAATAATAGGTAAGTAGCACTGGGCCATCAAAAATAACAGATAAATAGGAAAGGCACTGCAATATACTATAATAACACCAGTGTGTAGAACATCGAGCACCAAGAGATCCTCAGCAAAACAGCCAAGTTGCTGATAAGATTCCCAGCCTCCACCGCTCAATAGGGCACTTCCCCTAAGTCCCATGGCCACCCAGCATAATCTTTTCCACGGCCCTGCACTACCGGCAGCGAGAACCCTAGATCTCCGGATCCTGCAGGCCGTGATGGAGGTGAGGATGCTTATCACACTGTAGTCGAGGTGAGTGAGTACCAGTGGGAAGGCAAGAGCTGTGCAAGGTAGTCACATGTCGCATGTCCTCACATGCAGTCTTCTGCACAAGGCCAGTCTGGGAACTCCCTGAGAATTCTCCCATATGAGCAGTCAGCCAGCAGGACTAGTCTAGGGGGGACAAGACTAGGACCACAGGAGCAGAGGTACTTTTGAGCATAGAATCTTTCCCAGGACCTAGCACACACGTCATCAAATGTCATGAGTAGCTTGTCCATGGACATGGATGACTGTGAGGAGGTGCATGTGGCTGCCATTTTGACTGTGTGAACTCTGTGCCATTTTGGTCTCTGTGCACTGGGAGGCTGTTTACCACACAAGTATTCCAATTGGGACCGGGATATCCTACTCCGGACCAAAGGGGGGGAGGGACAGGGACAGGGTTAAAAGCCTGCATGGTCTTATTCAAGGCAGGGGATCGGCCGTCTCCCCCACCTCTGGTATGGCTGCAGGCCTCAGGGTACCCTAGCTTGGCCTGTGTCTGCTGGAGTCAGGCAGAAAGGTGTCAAGCATTAAGCAGAGTGCTCCCCAGGGTTGTAGGCACAATTTCGCCAGAAAAAGTGCAGTTATCTGGGTTTTACTGAGGAGCTTTAGCATTAAGCGATTCACTTGGACTGCTGCCAGGCCCCACCCCCATGTGTTATATGTCAGGATTAGTTGATCAAGCATGCAGAATTGTATCACACCTAGGACTAAGAGTAACGTCTAACTGGACCTTAGAATGGCTGGACTTAACGTACCCAAGAATAGTAAATGTACTAACAGAGGTCAGGGGCACAGAACGAGACACAGCGATTAGAAAAAGACAATAGTCAAGGATACCAGAAGTCAGAGAAGTCAAAAAACAGAAATACACGATCAGGAACACACTCTCGGATAACAATCTAAGGGAAACCACGACAGGGCACTGATATTTAGTTTAACCCCTTCAGGAACAAACTTCTGGAATAAAAGGGAATTATGACATGTCACACATGTCATGTGTCCTTAAGGGGTTAAAAACCCTCCTAAAGCTGTAATTGGCTGTATGTGACCTCTGACCCCAAAACGTGTGTGCACATCTATGACTTGACACGTAAGCGCCATCTTTGATATGGGCAAAGGCTATTTCCCTATTAAAATCGGAACCGCAGCGGCCGGCGTCTCCAGTAACGCCGCACGCGCTAGAAACCAGGATGGAAGGAGGTCAAGCTGAGATCTGCTGCGGGTAAGAAGTATTTATTTCTGTCTGCGTGACTGCTGTTTTTCTGTGCGGCCACACCGACAGGAACCCGCGGCACTGTGACATACTTCTGTGCAAATATTTAGTGATGCTGGTTAATTGTTAGAATAGTATGTTCAAGTCCTTTTAGATGCAAAATTTGATAAGTGACATGGTCAAAATGTTCTTGAAAAGTATTGGAATGGTGTTTCTGTCATAGTTTTAACATCAGATATCAGATTGCCATTTCTCCCCTCCCTCCCCCCGACATTTAGGAGTTAAATCACTTTTACCAGATATATCCATTGCAGCACAGATGTGTATAGCTCATCCCACTCCTACAGTGGTCAGGAATAGTGCCTAATTAAAGGGACACTGTAGGCACCCAGACCACTTCAGCTCATTGAGGTGGTCTGGATGCTGTGACCCTTTTGCACTTAGTGCTGCAATGTTAAACATTGCAATTCCAGAGAAATAAGAGTCCAGGACAGATGAGGGAGCGGAGATTCGACCCAGCGCCAAGGACATTGGCGTTGGGATAAGGTAAGTACATAAAAGGATTTTTAACTCCTTACTTACCAGGTAGGAAGGGGCACGAGGGAGGGGGGAGGCAGAGGGATCGGTAATGGCAGGAAAATTGTATTCCTGGCACTACAGTATCCCTTATAATAATAGAAGGAACTCCTTTCCCTACATCCCGAGTCTATTTTTTCTGTCCACTTTCATTGGCCTCAGGATGCTTTGCACCTCATTTTTATTTTGTTGCTTACTTGGGTCTATTGTATCACTCTCCCACATGGAGTGCAGCCTCTCTCACAATGGAAGCCTCAGGACATACGATTATCCACACCGTATCAACTGGGGGGACATACTGCAGATACCATATACCGGTATGTGGCAGCTGCATGTGCCAGAGCCCCTGTGTGATCATTCCTTCCTATGGGTTTACAAAGATGAATGTAGGAAGCAGTTGCACATTCTTGGCTTACACCCAACCATTTGGATTTCATAATGACATTGATGATCAGTCTGGGAGTTTTCTTTGCTCATATTTCAGTCTTCTTGGCAGATTTTAGGTTGTTTTTCAGCATTCCTGGCTTGCTCCCTATGGTTTCTATTGCGTTCCAGTATTTGGAACACATGGTGGAATGACCAAATCTTTTATGGAAGACTATTTTGTTCTCCCCCGTCTCTCTGGCCAGCATGAAAGTGGAATTCCTAATTAAAGCGGTGCGAGACACACGATATGAAATATACGTCTCAGGAAGAATATGCTTCCAGCAAGTATTTTGAAGACATGAAAAAGCAGTATTCCACATTCCCTTTACATAAAGGTTACTGGGGAACTGACTAATGAGGAATAGAGTAAGACAGAGAGGAGGGTTTCAGTCCAAGGGAGCTTTATCCTTTTAAAGAGCTACTGCAATCTCTATGACCACTTCTGTGATTTGAAGTGATTATGGTGGTATAAGTATGTATGTGAAGTGTTTCTGATTACATCTGTCGGTAATTCAGTATGTACAGCGTTTCAATCTTCTCCCTTGCAGGCAGAGCACCTGCAATTGGAAGATAGATCTCCCTTTCACCTACATTGCACTGCCACCTCTATCCTATGAATGAGTGGCAGAAATCCTTAATCCCTCTATGAGAGGCCTGTGATTGGACCTGGCGCGGCTGCCCACAAGTCATGAAGAGGCATGGAGCAGTGTGCCAGGAACTTTGCTGGGGATGCTGGATTCCAGGTAAGTAAAAACCTTTAAAACAGTCCAAAACATTTTTTTCCCCCCAATAGGACATTGTGACGGACCGCCTGGCATCCCGATTGGGTGCCTCCACCAATCGCTGCTTCCTAGCCGTTGCCGAGTACCATAGGCACCGCACCAGACACCATAAGCACATTAGCCGCCGCAGCTTGGATGAGGTCTCGCTGTGCTCCACCCACCCTGGACCCAAGCCCAGGATCCAGCTTCCAGTGGGTGGACCTCTCCTATGCCAGAGAGTCTAGCTGTGTAGCTCTGACAAGCGCTAGGTATTATAGCCAGTTTAGCAATCCGAAGCAGGTATAGCTGTTCCCTACAATCACGAGACGAGGCTGCGTGTTGAGGGTGAAATGAACTGACTTTAAATGGGACCACACTTGGCCTTTTATGACAGTCTACATGAAAGGGGCGTTCCCCCTCCTGGACCTGAGAGTAAACCACAGTAAAGACAAATATACAATCACATTGGCTCTCAGATCCAGGACACTCCCATACAAACTAAGTCAATCCTTTCTCTGTACCTGATAGATAATGGAATCAAGTACTGTATAAACTCAATTATCTCCAGACACAAACATTTTTATAAAAAAACCCAAATACCTTTAAAACATACAAAACCCCCACAAAACAAAGTTACATCCCCTGATAGCCCAGATCTGGGTAAAGAACATATCCAAAAATCAACCAGATCTGTTCAGGGGTTCAGGAATTTCCTGGAATTCATAGTTTTGGCTGACCTCACGCATGGTCCCATGCCCAAAAAAACAGTTCCATAGAATCAAGGCTAAGTGCCGATGAGGGCTGGGCCGGGTACCGCAAAGTTTTCGTGCCGAAAATAGTTCCAGGGCATTGACGGCCAAGTCCCCCTGAAGTTTATTCGCGGGTTTTGGTCTGTGCCGGACCATAGGGAATAAAATATGTATATTTACAGTCGCTGACCTGGCCCATAGTCTTTTCACAGGAGGCTGGCTAACAGGCCCCTCCAAAAGTCCATGGCGAGGTTCTGTTCGCTACAGACATTCACAGATAAAAAAAAAAAAAAAAGATGGAGATGGAGAAATCCTTTAAGTCTTCTGCTAGTGCATTGTGGGATACGGCTCCTAAAATTGATGCGGCCATCATTCACCTGTCCAAAGAGACCATAGAAAATGCAGGCTATCTCAAAAGATGCAATAGACAAGTGCATGGTTTCCTAATTTATCAAAAGCACATATTACAGCTGGATCTGGTCTGCCTAGTGCAGTGGCCATGAAATCAGTTTCCAGAGCTCTAAAGCAATGGTTACGTGACCTTGAAATGGATATTCCGAATGGGGTCAGCCAAGTCAGACTTCTGGAATCCCTGTGTAAAGTCAGACGCCCTTGGAATTTGCTTCAGTTGATATTGGTTTTTCCATAGCCTCTAGACAAGCTCTTTGGCTAAGGGTGTGTCTGGCAGATACAGCCTCCAAAAACAGTCTTTGTGCTATTCCATATCAAAGAAACATGCTTTTTGGGAAATACTTAGACAATTGCTTTAAGAACGTTTTAGAATAATGTAAAGCTTTCCTTTCTCAGGATTGATGTTCAAGGAGAACATTTGGCCAACATCGCAAGTCCTTTCCGGACAAAAGATCATATTCGTACAACGCAGGGAAGGAGTTCTCCAGAACAAAGTCATGGCAGGGATGTTTTCTGCCTGCAGAGATGATCATTTCAAAAGGGATTCTTCCTGGCTAAACCGTTCTGTTGGGATGCCAACCCAGTGTCTCCAGGTAGGAGTTTTCTCAACAACTGTACCCATTCCACTAAGGATGCCTGTGTTCTTCAGATTCTTTAAAGAAAGCATTTCCTTGAATAAACTATTCTTTGTCCAAAATTACCAGTTACTGGCTGTCATGGTTCTCACCGTGACATCCAGGCGGCCAGACAGGGTCGACCCATAAGTGCCCAATAAGGGATTTGAGCCTGGGTGCTTAAAGGACCACTATAGTGCCAGGAAAACATACTCGTTTTCCTGGCACTATAGTGCCCTGAGGGTGCCCCCACCCTCAGGGACCCCCTCCCGCCCGGCTCTGGAAGGGGAAAAGGGGTAAAAACGTATTTTTCCAGCGCTGGGCGGAGAGCTCTCTGCCTCCTCTCCTCCTCCGTTACGCCCCGCCGGCTGAATGCGCATGCGCAGCAAGAGCTGAGCGCGCATTCAGCCGGTCTCATAGGAAAGCATTTACAATGCTTTCCTATGGACGCTGGCGTGCTCTCACTGTGAAAATCACAGTGAGAAGCACGCAAGCGCCTCTAGTGGCTGTCAATGAGACAGCCACTAGAGGAATAGGGGGAAGGCTTAACCCATTATAAACATAGCAGTTTCTCTGAAACTGCTATGTTTATTAAAAAATGGGTTAACCCTAGCTGGACCTGGCACCCAGACCACTTCATTAAGCTGAAGTGGTCTGGGTGCCTAGAGTGGTCCTTTAATAGTTTTAATCCCGTGTTCCTGCCTCTGAGCCACTTCAGTTCTTGTTTTGGCCTGGAGCTTATCTTTTCCATGTCTCCAGCACTGGGTGCTGGACTTCACCAGTGGCTCTGAACTATCAATCTCCGCCCACCTGAAGCTGATGGCCCAATTAGCGAGGTATAAGATACTGCCGCTCCCTGGGTCCCTGACAAAACCACCCTCTTCATGCAGAGAATTCCATAGCCTTATTGCTCTTACTGTAAAAAAATAAAATTAAAATAAAAAAAAAAAAAAAATAAACACACACACACACTTTTCTTTGCTTTAGATTAAATCTCATTTCTTCCAGCCTAAATGTGTGACCTTGTGTCCTATGTATAGCCCGGTTTATGAAATGATTTCCAGATAATGGTTTGTACTGGCCCCCGAATATATTTGTATAATGTTATCATATCCCCTCTCAGGCACAGTTTTCCAAACTAAAGAGATTTACATTTTTTAACCTTTCTTCGTAACTAAAATGCTCCATTTCTTTTATCAAGTTTGTTGCTCGTCTCTGCACTTTTTCTAGTGCTATGATATCCTTCTTTAGAACAGGTGCCCAAAATTGCACAGCATATTCAAGGTGCAGTCTTACCAGCGATGTATAAAGAGGCAAAATTATATTTCTATCCCAAGAATTTATGCCCCTATTTATACATGACAATACCTTACTGGCATTAGCAACTGCAGAGTGACATTGCATATTGCGGCCTAATTTGTTGTCTATAAGAATTCCCAAATACTTTTCGTGTGTGGTTATCCCCTATTCACTACCATTTAGGGTGTAAGTTGCTTGGGCATTCTTGACCCTGAGGTGCATAACTTTGCATTTCTCTATGTTAAATTTCATCTACCATTTTAGTGCCCAGTCCCCCAATCTATCCAAATCCCTCTGCAGCAAAGCAATATCCTGCTCACATTTTATTACTTTACAAAGTTTTGTGTAATCTACAAACACTGAAACATGGCTTTCAATGCCTATTTCAAGATCATTTATAAATATGTTGAATAGAAGCAGTCCCAAAACAGAACCCTGAGGGACACCACTTACCACTTTTGTCCAGCCTGAAAATTTACCATTAATGATAACTCGTTGTACTCTATCCTTAAGCCAGTGTTCTGCCGGAATGATGGAAGTGATTAGAATACAGTATCTTCATTGCACTTCATTTAGAATAAACAAGGAGTTTTCCTTATTTTATAGACTGCATGGCTGAGAGTACAGTTTCCATTTGTAATCTCGTTTTATTTTATTTCTGAGATACAAAAAAAAAAATCACTCTGCATATTTTATCTTTTTTTTTCCTAGAAATTTTTCTGCCACTGGAGCATCATTCTACCACTCCTTTTGTGATTACTTCCTAAACCTCATGATGCAGAACTTGAATTAGCCCTGAAAATATACCTTGGAACAGAATTCTGAAAAATCTGATCAAAATCAAATTCTGTATCCAATGTCTATGAGATTGTCTATTGAAGTTGAATTTTTTTTTTTTGCAACACTGAGAAAGAAAGTTCTTCTACAGGCCTAGCTTCAGTGGCATAATCGATTGCTCCTAGAAGACTTTCTATTGTCATACTTCTGTCTGTTCTCATAAAAAAATGTTCTTTCAATATCCATCTTCCAGGAGAGATTACTGTTCCAGCATAAAAAAATAAAATTTCTTTTACTTTTTCGGGGTAGTGCCTTTTTACCAGCCATCGATTTTAAGAAATCATCCAGTGCACAGTTAAAGCGGTGACATTGTTTGAAGTCGCAGAGGGAGGGTATTTAGAAAAGGCATCCAGTGTCCATGAACAGGGCTCTGGGCCAAACTGCATATCCTACAATTCTTGCTAAAAATGTTATTGCTCTATCTTGATGTTTAACAACTTTACCAGGTCTTCGTAATTCAAATATTTTGGACTATTGCCACTGAAGCACCAGAAAACTAAAACCTTGCTCTATGCTGTAGAGCAGGGGTAATCAACCTTTTAATACCTACCGTCCACATTCGTTGATAGTAAAATTTACTAATTTTATAGCGCGAGTATGATTTGTTTTCTTTTTAAAACGGAGAAATATGAACTTAAAGCTATCCATTTTTTTCTATGTGTGTCTGTGGGGGTGGGGGTGTCTGAAGTGGATAGTGTGTGTGTGTGTGGTGTCTGAAGTGGGTAGTGTGTGGTGTCTGAGGGGATAGTGTGTGTGTGGTGTGTCTGAAGGGGATAGTGTGTGTGTAAGTGAAGGGGTAGTGTGTGTGTAGGGAGCAGTGTGTGTTAGGGTTAGTGTGTGTGAAGGGTGCTGTGTGAGAGAAGGATGTAGTGTGTGTGTATGTGGTAAGGATACTGTGTGCTAGGGGGCAGTCACTCTGTGTGCGAGGGATGCATAGGGTCTATGCTTTGTGTAGATGGGTGAGTTGAGAAAATCTTTCTTCTTACCTTTTACCAGAGGGTATATAATGCTGCAAGTCCTTGTGATCCAGTGGTGGCATGTTCACTTTAGTCTGCAGCTCCTCTGGCTGCAGGCTGACTCTACTGTCCTCCTGCGAGCACAGCACTGTATTGGAGAGTTGCCATGGTAACACGCTGCATCGCTCTGACCAGCCTGCTCGCGGGAGGAACATAGAGATTCCCAGGCCCTTCTCTCAGTCTGCTGGCACCAAGTGCCAGTGTGGGAGATTTTTGATCTCCGCACCAGCCAGAGAGGGCTTACAGCAAGGCTGGCACTGCATGGATCTCCTCTGCTGGCCTTGGTCCACGGCCAACTAGGTGTTTTCTGTAGAACCCACCACCGCCCACCGGAAATCCCAAACCTCCTTCTCGTGGGCAGTAGGGACCAGGTTGACTTGGTTTCGCAGGTGGTGAGGGACAATCCTCAATTTACATATTGCCCTTGTGCACTAGAAGAGCTTGTAAATGGGAATCCACTGTGGAGTAGAGCAGCCCATAGCAGCTATCGCAGCTTTTGTTCTTTACCTGCACTGGCCAGCCCGGTCCACACTGGACCCCAGGAAAACCACCCACACTGTTAGGTATGCACAGAGCTGCAGAATAAGCCTCCCCCTAATACAAATAATATAGACAGCCTACACAAACATAACACCACTGACAGTCCACATAAACCCACAAGTTGCCTCTCACATGCAATAACACATACACACAAAGTCAGCTATAATCCACACACACAATTCTACAGCCAGCCCCTATTCATAGGTATTATACACAATACCACAAACTACTCATGAACATATATAAACAGCCCACATACTCACAAATACAATGTTACAATGCAATTGCAGCACCCATAAATATATATCACAAGCAGAATACGGTAACATACGCACCTCGGTTTAAACAAATAAAAAAATAGAAATAGGACCGGCACATCAAGATCTTATTTTGGCACAGTACTACAAAAAGGCTGCCTACCCCTGCTGAAGAACCTTGATATATTATTCTAAGAAATCTCTAATTCATTGGCCTTAAGACTTGAGTTTTCTCCAACGTGCAAAGCAGTTTTCTTGCGTAACTGTGCAATAACAACATCCACCTTTGTTACATTTTACAAAGGTTTCTCAGAAACTATAACAGCAAAACTTGCTCTAAGGCATTTAGAAATAAATGCTTCATTGTGTGGTCCTTTATTCATTTCTTTGAATCCAGGATACAAATGAAATATTTTAGAATAAGTTAGAGCTTCCTTCAAAACACTCAAAATAGTGCATACTTAGACTATAAAAGTATTAGAGATTCTGTATCGCGGGGGCGGGGGGTAGGTCAAGTTCGCACCCCCCTACACTTTTAATAGGCATAGATTGTTTTATCCAGAGCTGTCCGGGTGTGCAGCAGGAGGAGCCCTGGACACAGAATTAGACTGCAAAAAGTGTAACCAAAACAAACTTGTCAAGGATAAGGCAGAGATATAGTTATAAATAATTTTAAAAAATAAATAAATAAAGTTTTGCTCCAGACAGCAAAGGTAACAAACTAGCACACTAGAGCTAAAAGTAGGTTGGATAGTACATGGATGAAGGTGGGAATGGCCAATTTTAGGAGAGAGGGAAGCAACTTTCTAACATCAGCACTTGCTTCAAGACCAAAACCCCTCCAACAAAACACTACGCAATAGGTTGCACACACCTGAACAATGGACCACAATCAGCTGCAGAGGCTGACGCCACCCAAACCGGGTTGCGAGTTGCATCCTCGGTGAGTAAGATGCTATGCATGTAAACACAGGGAACCACCAACCAAAGAAAAACCAAGGCAGAATGGCCACACCTAAAGACAATGGAAAACCCACTGTTCACCAACAGTGGTTCGGGGGGAGGGAAAAGGGCAGAGAAAGAGACACAAGGCAGGGAAGAAACAGCCAAGTTAGTATGAGGGAGAAAAGTAAGGTCTAGAAATTAGGCAGCACAGGAACATACTGTAGCTCTGACATCCACAGGAGGACTGTAGCAGGTTAGCATGAAACCACTGCATAAACAATGAAATGTTAGCCTTTATAGCAGACAGTCTCCTCTTGTGCGCCTGGCTTGCACATTATCTATATATTGTAAACTGCTGCGGAATAAGTTGGTGCTATATAAATGCAAAATTGATTATTATAATAATAGAACCATCTGGAATAGGAGGACTGCAGATAGTACAGCATGGTAGCTTTTCCTCTTTCTTTCATAGAGACTTGATATTTTTGGTGGACTAGATATTCTAAAAAAAATATTATATACCTTGAGAAAGACACGAATGGGTCGAAACGTCGGCTAAATTTTGATGCAATACCTATTGGAATAAATTACCCCTTTTTTCACTTATTAAGTCCTTGGAGTGCATCGCTTTTGTTTATATATCTTCAACGCAGGATTGCACCTAGACTAAATTGGATTATTTTACACGAAATAAAGTCCAAGTAAAGGAAACATCCAAGTAAAGGAAACAAAAAAAAAAAAAGAGAGGAAATACATTTTCCTACTTTATGTCTCTAAAAGTACCAAGTCTGCACCTGGAAGCTGTCCGTGTATTTAGGACATTTAAATAGTGTTGCTGGCAAAATCTGTTTTGCATCAAGTGCAATAGATCGCTTCTGCGCACTCTCGGTACACTAAGCAATCTACGCAGAATACATTACAATGTATGTGCATTCCACCTTACAAAAAAAATACCAAAATGTATTTTCTGTGGTGGGTGGCGAGAAAGGGAAGATTGATCACAGGCACCTGGCATGCCTGGGCAACTAGTCCTGACACATGGTCAGAAACATTGTGACTACTCTCGGGGCTAATCCACTTGGGGTCACGGCTTATAGCCTGACTGGAGAACTCTTGGGGAGATTCTCCGGATGGAGGAGTGGCTGGCGACATCACTGCATTCTATTATGGACACTCCAAAATACAGGTTCGGCAGGGAGGCTTATGATTGGCACTGCTCTGACATTTATCAGCAACGTAATTTGAATATGTTATGTTTATTTTTACAGTTCTTTACTATCTGACAGATTGCGCTCATGCCAAGTATCAATGTATGACATGATGCATGCATTAACACTACGAACCTTCCTTTCTGTAACATTACGGCAAAACTGTATTTACGTGACTTGGCTTTTGTACAAGCCTTATCGTTCCTCCTATATCGCAATATCTGTCATTGCAAAGAAAGAAATATATATATATATATATATATATATATATATATATATATATATCTCTCAATCAACCGTCCGAGTAAAGCCCTAGAAGGCAGACCCTGCAGGTACAAAATAGAAAAATGGGACAACATGCTAACCTGTCCCAGAGAAAAACACACACACACTTGATTTATAGTATGTAGGGTGAATTTGGAGATGGTCTGTAATAATTAAGATTCAGGATTTACATGTTCCTTGTCCTATTCGGAAATGCGAGGGAAGGAAGGAAAAAGATTTATATCTTATATTCAGACCATTTTGTACAGACAGTCACCAGTTAATATATAAACACAAGAGTGAACTGGAGTACCCAGGCATAGTATAGAATACCATTCCTCTGTACAAGGAAATACTATTTAATCTCCATTTGTGATCTATATTTCTAATATTTAGATTATGCATGTAACTACAGATAGAGGGACAAAGGTTTAAAAACTACTAGAGGGACAAAGGTTTAAAAATAATATCAGGAAGTATTACTTTACTGAGAGGGTAGTGGATGCATGGAATAGCCTTCCAGATGAAGTGGTAGAGGTTAACAGTAAAGGAGTTTAAGCATGCGTGGGATAGGCATAAGGCTATCCTAACTATAAGATAAGACTAGGGACTAATGAAAGTATTTAGAAAATTGGGCAGACTAGATGGGCCAAATGGTTCTCATCTGCCATCACATTCTATGTTTCTAGTTATAAAATAAACAAAACTTGTAACCTCTGGAGGAATGCTGTCATCTGAGTCAGAACTGTCATCATATCCGCTTTCATCCAGGTTCATCTGCAGCAGCTGATCAATTGTAGCATCCACTGCTCCGTTATTAGCTCTCAATACACACTCAATGATATCATAATCCATGTTTGGAAACATTGTTTTAAAATCTTCCATGGCTTGATTGAACTCCAACCTGCGCACAGGCCGGCTGTTGTTCAGCTCCTGAGTGGAGCCACTTCTCGAGTTTGCAGTGCTATTACTTCTACGAAACAGACTGGTCATTTTCAATAACTGTTTTTGAATAAGAATTGAGAAAAAAAAATATATATAAAAAAAAAAAAAAAAAAATTAGAATAATTGATATATAGAGAAAAAGATGAAACTCTCTTTCATGTCCAATGTCCAGAGGTTCGTTTTCGGGCTGCCAATCCTACACACCTTTGAATGGATAATACTATAAAGACATTTAGAGTGGCCAAATATTGCACCTGGGGAAAGAAGAAAAAAAAAAAAAAAAAAGGATTATTTTTTTTTCTATAAAGCAAGAGCATTTGATAATATATGTGCACACACATATATAGCTAAACACAATCAATAGGAAAAAGGCTGTAATTTACAAAGCAAGTACGCGTGCCATCTTAAAGAGGCATCCCTTAATATCAAATATAGTACTATATACAAAAAGATGCACACCTTAGTTAACTTAAAGGACCACTCTAGGCACCCAGACCACTTCAGCTTAATGAAGTGGTCTGGGTGCCAGGTCCAGCTAGGGTTAACCCATTTTTTAATAAACATAGCAGTTTCAGAGAAACTGCTATGTTTATTAATGGGTTAAGCCTTCCCCCAAAGCCTCTAGTGGCTGTCTCATTGACAGCCGCTAGAGGCGCTTGCGTGATTCTCACTGTGAAAATCACAGTGAGAGCACGCAAGCGTCCATAGGAAAGCATTGATAATCCTTTCCTATGCGACCAGCTGAATGCGCGCGCGCAGCTCTTGCCATGCGTGTGCATTCAGCCGAATGGGCGGAAAGGAGGAGGATCAGAAGAGGAGAGCTCCCCGCCCAGTGCTGGAAAAAAGGTAAGTTTAACCCCATTTCCCCTTTCTACAGCCGGAGGGGGACCCTGAGAGTGGGGGCACCCTCAGGGCACTATAGTGCCAGGAAAACGAGTATGTTTTCCTGGCACTATAGTGGTCCTTTAAGTCAAATCTCTTTAATATACACAAAATAAACAAAACAAAAATAAAGTCCAAAAGAGAACACTATTACAAGAACATGTGATAGAGGGTATATAACATGCACTTAAATCACAAAAGGCATAGAATCTCACTTTCATATTACCTCAAAAGGGCAGGGTACTTGTACACAACAAACCTCAACGTTTCGGCACACTTACTAGTGCCTTTCACAAGGCATAAACACATTTACCCATCCTCCATTTACATAGTTACATAGGATGAAAAAAAAAAAAAAAAGACATGCTTCCATCAAGTTGAGCCTTCCATATGTCTTTTTTTGCTGTTGATCCGAAAGAAGGCTAAAACACAAACGTTTGGAGCACTTCTAATTTTACAACAAACTAGGGAGGAAAAAAAATCCCTCGACTTCAGAGTGACAGATTTATCCTTGGATCAAGAAGCCATTGCCCTACAGCTGAATTTTATGTTTTTGCATCTAGTTGCCGTTTAAACATCTGTACAGACTTTGATAAAACCACTTCTTCTTGCTAAGAATACCACATCCTTATTGTTTACGATAAACCCCCTAAAAATAAAAACACAACTTTCCTTTGCCTTAGACTAAATCTTTTTTCCAGTGTAAATGCATGACCTCGTGTCAGAGACACAACTGAAGAAGTGAAGACTTTCAGGTTTAATTCAAAGGGTAAAATAAAAATATTGTATGAAATTTTCATACAGTCCCCTTGTTTAAGGGGCTCAAATGTAATTGGACAAATTAACACAATCAAAAACAAAATTATATTTTAAAACACTTTGTCAAGAATTCATTGCAGACAATGTCTGCTTGAATTCTGGAATGCATGGACATCAACAAACATTGGGTTTCGTCCTCTGTGATGCTTTGTCAGGCCTTGGCTGCAGCAGTCTTCAGTTTTTTGTTTGTGGGTTTTTATGCCTTAAGTTTAATCTTCAGCAAGTGAAATGCATGCTCGATCAGCTTGCGATCAGGGGACGGATTTGGCCATAGCAGAAGATTCCACTTTGCCTTTAAAAAAAAACAAAAAAAACTTTTGCATTATGTTTTGGATCATTTGTAAAGACGTTGAAACTGAGCTGCAGCACGGTGGGCAGGACCATACAGCAGTTTCACAGGACAGCTTCCACTCAGAACAGGACTCGCCATGGTTGACCAAAGAAGTTGAGTGCACGTGCTCAGTCTCATATCCAGAGGTTGTCTTTGGGAAATAGAAATGAGTGCTGCCAGCATTACTGCAGTGGTTGAGCAGTCAGCCTGTAAGTGCTCAGACCATACCCCACACACTGCATCAAATTGGTCTGCATGGCTGTCGTCCCAGAATGAAGCCTCTTCTAAAGATGATGCATAAGAAAGCTCGCAAATAATTTGCTGAAGACAAGCAGAATAAGGACATGGATTACTGGAACCATGGCCTGTGGTCCGATAAGACCAAGAAACGTATTTGGTTCAGATGGTGTCAAGTGTGTGTTGTGGCAACCAGGTGAGGAGTACAAAGACAAATGTGTCTTGCCTACAGTCAAGCATGGTGGTGGGAGTGTCATGGCCTGGGCCTGCATGAGTGCTGTCGGCACTAGGGAGCTACAGTTCATTGAGGGAACCATAAATGCCAACATGTACTGTGACATACTGAAGCAGGGCATGATCCCCTCCCTTTAGAGACTGGGCCGCAGGGCAGTATTCCAACATAATAGCAACCCCAAACACACCAAGACGACCACTGCCTTGCTAAAGAATCCAAAAGTAAAGGTGAAGGACTGGCCAAGCATGTCTCCAGACCTAAACTGTTTTGGGCATTAGTAGGGTACCCTCAAACAAAAAGTGGGGGAGGGCAAGGTCTCTAACATCCACCAGCTCCGTGATTTCATCATGGAGGAGTGGACGAGGACTCCAGTGGCAACCTGTGAAGCTCTGGTGAACTCCATGCCCATGAGGGTTAAGGCAGCGCTGGAAAATAATGGTGGCCACACAAAATAGGCCCAAATAGCTACTTTGGGCCCAATTTGGACATTTCCACTTAGCGGTGTACTCACTTTTCTTGGCAACGGTTTAGACATTAATGGCACTGTGTCAAGTTATTTTGAGGGGACAGCAAATTTACACTGTTATACATACAGTACACTTACTACTTTACATTGTAGCAAAGTGTAATTTCTTCAGTGTTGTCACATGAAAATATATAATAAAATAAAAGGGGTGTACTCACTTTTGTGAGATACTGTTTATATAATATAACATAACTGGACTTCCAAAGATGGATTTTTCATTTAAAAAATTTCCACCATGGGGGAAAAGATATTTAGAGTTTTGCATTGACTTCTTATAACTTTTCTCTCACATTACTTTGCCTTTTGTCAATTTTGTTTTATTAAAACATTAGATTCCATCATCTGCTCTAGTGAACACCTATCACTCTGAGGCAACCAATACATGCGGTGTTTCCTGAGATCCCAGCATGTGCATTGATGTTACTGACAGCAATTACACTTATATCACTCTTGGGCAGCTATCCATGTGCATTGCAGTAGATTATTCACAGTCTCCCCTCCATGCCTTCAGTTATGCTAGTCACGCGGGGACTTGCAGGGAGGAGTGAGGTCACGACATGGCGTCTCATAAATTGGCGGCTGGAGTTTCCAAATACAAAGTTCGGCATGGGTGCCTGGGAGAGCGGAGTAAAAACAGTAATTTACGTATATTACATCACTGATAGCTGATATCAGACATTTGCCTAATATCGGCTGCAATAACCAGAGGAACCGATAATTGGTCAATTCCTAGCCTTTAGTCTTGAATTTCTGACAACTTTGTGGCTGAACTCTTCCAAGGTAGTCTTTTCTCCAAAAAAAGATATAGTGTCCATTATTCCTTTTTATAGTAAATTTGGGAGATTATAACATCTGAGCAAATTGTTAGTCAAAGACGATTTTCTGAAAAGTTGTGCAAAGCAAGCAATTGTTCTGACAACTACTCAATGATCTCATAAGTAAAGCACAACTCCAAGTCAATGTGGTTGAGTAAATCAACAAATATTAGTTATAATGGTTTATGAAAATATAGTTTTATTAGTAAATCAAAACGTTTGAAATAAGCTTTATGGTATATACTAAAGTGCCAGCTGCATTAAAATCACTACTAGTTTTTACTCATACCATGAGTAGATTAAATTCCCAGGAAAATTACAAGTTTTGGGGTTAAAAAAAAAAAAAAAAAAACAGCATTGCCCTTTTATGCTATGTTTACACTGAGGGTTAATCCAGCCTCTAGAGCCTCTAGTGACAGCCGCTAGAGGCGCTTGCGTGCTTCTCACTGAAAATCAGAGTGAGAAGACGCCAGCGTCCATAGGAAAGCATTGCAAATGCTTTCCTATGAACTGGCTGAATGCGTGCGGGGCTCCTGCCGTGCATGCGCATTCAGCCGAGGACGTCTCTATGAAGGAGGAGAGCTCCCTGCCCGGCGCTGGAGAAAGGTAAGATTTTAACCACTTCCTCTCCCTAGTGCCCGGTGGGATGGGGATCCTGAGGGTGGGGGCACTATAGTGCCAGGAAAACGAGTATGTTTTCCTGGCACTTTAGTGGTCCTTTAATTACCACAGACTACAGTTTCCTGAATGACTTGTTCCTTCACCTATGCTTTTAACTACCATCTGCAACATAAGTATCTAAAAGCCAGCAGAAGTACCAGACCATGAAAAGAATAGGCATCAAGAGCCTACCCCCCATAATCCAAGCTTTGTGTTAAAGGATCACTATAGTGCCAGGAAAACAAACTTGTTTTCCTGACACTATAGTGTCCTGAGGGTGCCCCCACCCTCATGGCCCCCCTCCCGCTGGGCTGAAGTTGGAGGAAGGGCTTCAAATCTTACCTTTCTCCAGCACCGGGCTCCCTCTGAAACTGCTATGTTTACAGCAAGTAGGGTTAACCCTAGAGGGACCAGGCACCCAGACCACTTAATTAAGTTGAAGTGGTCTGGGTGCCTGTAGTGGTCCTTTAACCCCTTAAGGACACATGACATGCGTGACATGTCATGATTCCCTTTTATTCCAGAAGTTTGGTCCTTAAGGGGTTAAACACCTAGCTTGAATTTCCCTTTCAAACAAAATAGTAATGAATAGTCTAAGAAATTCACCAGCAACTAATTTAAACACACATATGATGATTAGTCCATAAAGTGCATTTTTGTTTTTAAGCAATTCAGTGGGTGCTACAAATTACATCACATTCACCAAAGAGGATACTAGGCATTCATCAACTTGCAGTCCATATTGACCCTGATTATTTCACTCTCAAATTCCAGTTTCTCTGTCTGAGAGGAAGGAGGGATGTTGTGCAACAAAATAAAAATAAATAAAGCTAGCTGGCCTTACAATACAAATAACATGAAGGAGTGCTTAATAGGACATCTAGAAAGAAGTCAGGATTGCATCCATTTATTCTCTCCCATCACTAGCAGAAAATACGGTAAGTCAAAACAATATGTGGTATGAGTATTCTGCAGCAGAGTACTAGCCGGACAACGCACCATTTCCACCATTAGACTGTTGACATGATGGAAAAGTGAAAAAACATTATACCCCTTTTAAAAAAATTTTTTTAAAAAGTCTCAACAGAAAGGGATGTTATTCTCTCCACCATCATCAGTAACCACCAACTGTCCTATTTTACATTTGCTCAAAAATGATTTGAGGCAGTCTATAAAAAGCATAGGATTCTGTGTTTTATTAATTAAAATCGGGTCCAAAGTATATGTTGGTCTTTAAGACATCCACTAATGCATTCCATTATATCCTGAACATGCAAACATGCATTTAGCAGATCAGTGTTTAATGATCTCTTCTTTGGACAATACCAGTAAAGTGAGGTGGTACCATAAGGAGAAACAGTAAGGAAAAACACAGTTTTCATGCATTCATTGCTCTCCCTACTCTTCAATTAAGATTTACATTTACCCTTTTTGTTTATCTCTGCTATATGGACTGTAGCTGCTTCCTTTGATCCTAGTGGGAGTGCAGAGAACGTTTCCCTTTCATTCCTGTGCGCCTTCATACAATAAGTAACACTGAAAGATGTAGTAATGAATAGTCTAAGAAATTCACCAGCAACTAATTTACCCTTTTTGTTTATCTCTGCTATATGGACTGTAGCTGCTTCCTTTGATCCTAGTGGGAGTGCAGAGAACGTTTCCCTTTCATTCCTGTGCGCCTTCATACAATAAGTAACACTGAAAGATGTGAGGGAGTGCAGGGAAAGCTAAAAGCGGTATACCTCTGGAGCAAGACACCATGCACAAAAGAGAACTTACACGCAGAACACTTTTGTGCATCCTATGGAGGCCTGGTCAAGGGTGATGTTTTGACCTCTCCTGAGTCCATGGATACAAAATTTATCCATCCTACTTTATACTACTACTGCGACCTGGCAAAATAAATTTTACAAGCTATGACATACAAATCATTAAAATCAAGTCCAATCTCCCTCTATCTTTACCACACTTGGCTAAATTTAAATAACTGATTTAAGAACCTAGCGGTCATAATTTGTGCTTTACAGTCACCCACAATTGCACAACACTATTATGTATCATTGGATGGTAGGATCACTAAACAGAGCATACATAGATTCTTTCTCCTACTTGAACAGCTATCGACAATGTCTCTTTCTCTCTGTAGTGTTTACTCTTGCTATTAAGCTTATGTCCACGGACCAGACCCGTTATTCAGTCTTTTTTTTCGTCATAAATTCTACCCTCACATCCGCTTTTGCTGCCCATGAAAGATGTTTTGGCCAAGGAGACGCCTTATATATAAATAATTCTTATAGAAAAAGGACACAAACCCATAAAGATCAAATACCAGGCTCCTGGTTAACAGAAATGTAGTTAGAAATCTGTATTCCGCACTTTGAACACCACCCCACTGCCCGCCCTCTTACCATGAGATGCCTGTACCTGGCGGGTAGCGAGGCTGTTGATCGGGTTACCGGATCCGCCGTGATGGCATGTTTTCCCATTAGCTTGTTTCCCACGCGGTCATTTCCACCGGAAGTGACGCGTTCCGAACGCACTCTATTAGCTCTATAATCAGATCGCTATTATTATTATTAAAGCGTGCGTTCCACGAGATACGTGCGTTCTACGGTCCATCGCTGGTGTTCCATCTGTAATTGCTCGCCTTAGAAATGTGTTTACTTGGTTCCCAAGGTAGTTATCATAGCCTCGCTTTCCAGTAGTCGGTGCCAATTCTGCAGCCAGACCTTATATTACCTAGCGCAGTTACTCCTTGTTCCTCTCACCACTCCCAATGGAAGGAACAATAAAGTTAAGTAATTTAAACCATGTAACGTCAGTTATTTATCTGTCCTCACTCTCTATGGATGTTAGTGTTTTTTATTTTGGGGCAGTTTCACCTCAAGAACTTTTTATTTTGTCTAACCTAGGATCACTTTAGGTCCTTGTCCCAAAGGAGTTCATTCAACCTCTCTCCTTTGGAGTCTGCAGGACATGGTGCATCTCCAAGTGACCCTTGCAGACCCCCATAGTGACCGGGGGTGACGGCTGCTCTAACCCATTTTGGTAGCCGCGTGGCTGGCACTCAGGGGTTAGATACAATGGAGTGACTGAGTTGGAGCCAGATTGCCATGGTAATGGGCAATTACTGAGGAGCCTGGGGAATTGTATTCAGTTAACCCATTTTGGGTTAATATTCCTCCTGGTGATGGTCGTAGTTCCTTGTCCTTGTAGCATATCCACAGAATCGTCGCTTCTAGTTTAGGGTTGCCAAAGCAACAGAGGAGCTTTTGGGTGCAATTTGGAGTTATGTAGCCTAATTAAAACCAGGAGGCTACAGAGTAAGTGTTTTCACTGCACTACTTTCTAAATAATTCATGGTGTTTGAATGTTGCATTTTTAATTATGCATAGTATAATAAAAACACAAAACAACTTCTTCCTTTTAATATGTTTATTTTGATAAATTGTAGAATGTCCGTGAACCTTTATTACGGATTTCACAATTCCAATTTAAACATCAACATCCATAATAATAATATACCATAACTTTTAACCAAAATAAACCATTAACCATTTTCATGCTCTGCACCTTAAAGCCAGGAGTCATAAATATAATATATTAAAACCAAATAAATCAAATGCACCCTCCTGTGATGCCCAGGAGAGTGATTTATATCCCAACGCCACCGAACTTCTGTGCAACCAAATTCGGTGGCCACCCAACGCCCACAGACATCTCCACCATAGACTGAATACCCAAATGAATTTTATCCAATCCTATGTCGGACAAATTAATTGCATTGCACCTATAGAAACCCTGCGCAACTGCCATCAATATCTACGTGCCTGTTTGAACGCATCCCCAAAATATCCCCTTTTGCCATTAGTGCTCCCTTTCCACATCTCCTTACTAAATTCAAAGGTTGAATAAACACTGAACTATCCTCTTTAGAAATCATGTCATTTAACCCCTTCCCGACCATGGACGTTAACGACCGCGGACGTACCTAGTACGTTCATTAGTAAATCCCCACTTACCTGATCGCTGGCGATCAGGTTAATTTTCATTTCCGGGTTGCCATACTGTCTCAAAGGCAACATAGCCACTCTGGCAAATAGCAATTTACAAAAACAGAAATTGCCAAATCTTATGTTTGACCCTGTAACTTTCCAAACCACCATGAAACCTGTACTTGAGGGGTACTGTTGTACGCATGAGACATAAGTAAATTTTAATAAAGCAAGAATTTTTTATAATCCAAAATTATGTTTCTTTGACCAGCTATCATTCCCCACAACCTACTGTGGTGAAATTCTGAGCTTTTCCACAGTAAAGAAATACAAAAATTAAAAAAAGGAATGCTTAAAGGACCACTATAGGAACCCAGACCACTTCAGCTTAATGAAGTGGTCTGGGTGCCAGGTCCACCTAGGATTAACCCTTTCTGCTGTAAACATAGTTTACCATGTTTACTTTAGGGTTAATCCAGCCACTAGTGGCTGTCTCATTGACAGGCGCTTACGCGCTGCTCACTGTGATTTTCACAGTGAGAAGACGCCAGCGTCCATAGGAAAGCATTAAGATTGAGAATGCTTTCCTATGAGACTGGCTGAATGCACGCTCGGCTCTTGCCGCGCATGCTCATTCAGCCGACAATGGGGAAAGGAGGAGGAGAGTCTCCAGCACCGAGGGAGCCCAGCGCTGGAGAAAGGTAAGTGTTTAAGCCCTTCCTCTCCATCCAGGCGGGATTGGGACCCAGAGGGTGGGGGCACCCTCAGGGCACTATAGTGCCAGGAAAACAAGTATGTTTTCCTGGCACTATAGTGGTCCTTTAACTTCCTGTACTGTTTTTCAAAATGCCTTTCCCCGGGTCTAAAAAAACATTGTTTGATTTTATATTTTACAATTTTTTATTTTTTTTAATATCTAGGACTAGCAATACCTGCCAGACCTGGCATTTACTCCGTACGTAAGCATTGAAGTTTCCTTTCCTTATGTGATTTTATTTTATTTTGCAGTGTTTTTGCAAGATTTAAGTTTTTCCATGTTTTGAAATTTTTCAGTGAAGTTCTTTGAAGTTCCATCTGCATGCATGTTAAACAGCAGACACGACACTAGCATTGCTCACAGCCTTTTGGGCAGCCTCCTTAGCCTGGTGGGCTTGTAGCACAGCAACAGCTTCATCCACCTTTGAGCGGAGAGATTCTGGAGACTCTAGCATGTGAAGCAGCTCAGAATTATCAATCTCCAGCAACATGCCAGTAATCTTATCAGCGAGATTAGGATGCATAGCTTGGATCAGTGGGAAGAGACGCTCACCCAGCATTTGTTTTTGCTCCTGTGGAGGAGCAGAGGCCAGCATGGAAGCAGTCAGAGGCTTTTGGCCTTGCACATGGACAGCAGGCTGCTGCATGGCAACTTGAGGTTGGGTACTAAGATGTTGTTGAGGATTACGGACACCAGCGGCATATTTATACTGAGTAACAGAACGCACAGTAGAAGTCGCAGCTGCAGCAGCAGCTGTTTACCTAGGACCCATGGTCTGTGTTGATGTATTTGCAACGCGCTGGGCAGACACAAGACGTGGGACCTGGGAAGATGTTGGTCTCATTGCTCCAAAGGTTGGTGGTTTTGGAGCAGCAGGGCGGATGGCACCTGGCATATTCTGGAATGGATGCCTGGCACCTTGAGCAGTCCAACGGGGGCTTGGTCTAATCTGAGCAAGCTGTCCAGGGTGGTATGCAGCACGATTTTGAGCAGGTGGGATTGTGGCCATGAAGTAGCTGGAGGGTGGTGGCCGGTAGGGGTTGATCACTGGATTGGGTACAGCACGAACACTTGCCATTCTCTGCATATACTGGTTGGTCAGATGTGCTTGCCTCTCTTACTTGTGCTGTGCCAGAGCAACATACAGAGGCTTTGTGGCTACAATTCTGTCATTCATTTCAGTGACTGCCTTGGTTGCCTCTTCAGGGGAGGATAATCACACAAATCCAAATCCTTTGCTTTGACCACCTTCCATAATTACCTTAACACTTGTGATTGTCCTGAAGAGAGAGAATTCTTTACGAAGACGCTCATCATCAATGCCATCATCCAAGTCTTTTACATAAAGGTTAACACCCTGGTATCTAGTAATTCGGTCCTGTTTCATTTGTTAAAATTTTCTCTTCAACTCTGTTTGCCTTTCCACCTCTTTCTGGGAACGGCCAACAATTGCTTTGCCATTCATATCTTTTCCGTTCATTTCATCTACAGCCTTCTGGGCATCCTCATGTCTTTCAAAAGAAACAAAACCAAAGCCTTTGGACTTTTCACTTTCGTCTGTCATAACTTTAACACTGAGGGCTGGTCCATATTTGCGAAACATTTCTTTAAGTCTGTCGTCATCCATGTCTTCACCAAAATTCTTTACGTAGACATATCTGAACTCCTTTGTTCTTGCACCGAGCTCTGCTTCTCGTTCTTTGCAGGATTTGAATCTCCCAACAAATACTTTGCGGTCATTCAAAAGCATGCCATTCATTTTATCAATGGCCCTCTCTGCGTCCTCCTGGGTTTCAAAGGGAACAAATCCATAGCCCTTTGAACCATTTTCATCACACACCACCTTGCATGATAGGATATTCCCAAATGCAAAAATGTATCATACAGTGCTTTGTTATCAATTGATTTGTCCAGATTATTGATGAAAATGTTGCCTACTCCACTTTTATGGAGAGATGGATCACGCTGAGACCACATTATACGCACTGGCTTGCCTTTTATGACGTCAAAGTTCATTGTATCCAAAGCACGTTCAGCCTCAGCTGGTTGTTGAAAGTTCACATAGGCATAACCAAGAGATCGCCTAGTAATCATATCCCTGCAAACTCTGATTGACAAAATTGGCCCAGCAGAACTGAATTTCTCATACAGCATAGCCTCTGTCTCATCAGGGTGCAGGTCTCCAACATACAGGGAAGCCATGGGGTAGCTGGGAGCACTTGGATTCATTTTCTATGAAAATTGAAAACAAACTACACGGAGTAACGGATAATCGCTGCTTCTCACGAGCTGAGACCTTGTCCTGCCGCTTCCTTACGGGTTTGGTGTTTTTTTCTTCACTGAGGTTTTTTTAAGCGATTTCTTTTTTGCTATTTTTTTTCCCCCTCTAAAATAAGTCGTCAGTTGGTTGTTTCCGTGTTATTTTTTTTTCTGTAGCCGTTTAAAATCAGAGAGAGGGCGCGGGAGAAAAAAAAATCTGCCTTTAAAAAACAAACAAAAAACGTTGGATTAAGGAGGGAAAAAAAGAAAAAATATAGAAAGGGATTTTTCTAGGGTTTTGTTTCCCAAAGGAGTTTTGTGATTTTTTTTTATTTTTATATTTTTTAATAAGAAGAAATGTGTGCCGAGGCCAGGCTCCAGAGCACACACTCACACACAGAACTAACAGCTGGGGTAGAAGGGGAAAAGGTGAAATGGCAGTTTATGTGTGAAAAATGCAATATATATATATATATATATATATATAAATAAATTCTAATTTTGGTTTGTGACTAAGTGGCTACTAAAAAAAGAGTGGACATACCCTATTTTGAATAACGTTGGTTGTCTACTTGTACAAATGGCATGCCATGATGGGGTTAATTTTTATTCCTGGGCTGCTATACAGTCTCAAAAGCAACATTGGCCCAGCAAACCAATCTGGCAAATTTCAATGTGCAAACATGGAAAAGGAAAAGCCCTACATTTGATCCCTGTAAGTTTGCAAAAACCCATAAAACCTGTACATTGGGGGCACTGTTGTACTCAGATGTTGCTGAACACATATTGTGGTGTTCTTTGGCAGTAACCCTTAAAGTTCTCAGTACATGTATTCTTAAATTGCTATGTGTGTCAAAAAAAATCATTATTGTTGTTGTTTTTTTTTAAATTTGGCATAGATTGGTGGTAAAATGGTTGCATGAAAAGAGTCAAAATACCCCAAGATTAATACCTTAGGTTGTTTTCTTTAAAAAAAAAAATATATATATATATATATATACACATGTGAAGGGTTATTCAGGGATTGACAGATACCAGTGTTACCTGATAGTTACCTGACAGATACCAGTGTTACAATGTGTAACAGATCGCCTGGCACCCCGACTGGGTACCTCCGTTGAAGGATGCTCCTAGCGCTTCCTGAGGACTCCAAGCACTGCAGCAGACACCACAACCACCGAACCGGAGAAGCATACGAATGCTCTCAAGCATATGAATGCTGTAAGCAGCTGAACAGGAAAAGCATACAATCAGCTTACACTCCTGGCAATCAGCATACAATCCAATTCCCCCAATAACGAGACGACACTTCGTTTTGAGGTCAAGCAGAACTGACTGTACTGGCACATACAGCCTCTTTTATTCACAATCCACAAACATAGTACTGCCCACAGGGTTTTGAAATACAACCAATCAATCCTTACAATACACACAGACACTCCCACACAAAATCCTCCCCTCTGCCTGTGATATGATTATTGAACACAATGGTTAATATAATTATGACAGGCAGAGAAATACAGTATCATAAAACACATCACAGGGACCCCAAAACATGCAATAACCCCATAAAAAGTATATCCTCGGAACCGGGGGATCTGGGTGAGCCACATATCCAAAATTCCCCCAGATCCGTTCAGTAGGTTGGAAGATGCAGTTTAATGCAGATTCCGCAGAACATATACAGGCTATATGAAAAATAATTACTGTATAATGTGTCCCCTGTTGTATAGTCCAAAACCACTGTACGATGTCTCTGTGCACCAAATACCGGCGAGATGGCACCGTGTAGAAAAGTCCACACAGTGTCTGTGAGTTAAAATCAGGGCCGGACTGGGGATACGAAGCAGCCCTGGAAAAAGATCTATGCCAGCCCCATAAGTCATTGTGCTATTTAGGGTGTTTTTATATATATATATATATATATATATATATATATAGGCAATTGAACTAGTTGGCTGCACTCTCGGATTTCCTGAAAATGTAACTTTTATTGAAATATTTAAGAGAAGATCAATGTTTCAGTCCCTCTTGTGAACTTTCGTCATGATCCTGATGCAAGTCCACAAGAGGGACTGAAACGTTGATCTTCTCTTAAATATTTCAATAAAAGTTAAATTTTAAGGAAATCCGAGAGTGCAGCCAACTATTTCAATTGCCTATATATATATACTGGATACTGGAGCCCTGGTGATGCAACAGTATATATATATATATATATATATATATATATACACACATGTTTATATATATATTATAATTTTTTTATTGATACATTTCTTCTTCTAATTCAAAATATTAGTTCTTTTAGTGTAATTAAATTATACAGTAAAGCATACTCACACACAGACAGACAATCTTACTGATGCACACAAATAGGCTCATTGACAGACAATGACACACACAGACAAGGTTATTGGCACACACACAAATTTAGTACAGACAAACTCTGATACACACACACAAGCTTACTATAGACAAGCTCACTGTCACACACACGCTCACTACAGATAAGCTCACTGATGCGCACACACTCTCCCTACAGACAAGCCCATTGACACACACGCTCCCTACAGAAGAGCTCACTAACACACAGATTCACTACAGACAAGCTCACTGACACACACATGCTCACTACAGACAAGCTCACTGACACACATATGGTCACTACAGACAAGCTCACGATCACACTCATGCTTACTACAGACAAGCTCACTGTACACACATGCTCACCACAGACAGGCTCCGACACACTCATGCTCCTTACAGACAAGCTCACTAACACACACACACATATGATCCCTACAGACAAGCTCACTGACACACAGACAAGCTCACTCACTAGCAGGCACACACACACACACAGAGGCTCCCTCAGTAGCAGATGTGCGCACACACACACACACAGAGGCAGACAGTGACTGACACCCAGGCAGACAGCCACACACACACAGGCAGACAGTCACTGACACCGTGGCAAACACCCACACATACAAAGACAGGCAGACAGCCACAAACATACACAGGCAGACAGCCACACACTCACACACAGGCAGACAGCCACACACTCACACACAGGCAGACAGTCACACACACACACACGCAGACAGTCACACACAGGCAGACAGTCATGCACACACAGGCAGACAGTCACGCACAGACAGTCACACACTCACAGACAGTCACACACTCAGTCAGACAGTCACACACTCACAGGCAGTCACACACAGACAGTCACACACTCACACAGACAGTCACACACTCACACAGACAGTCACACACTCACACAGGCAGTCACACACAGACAGTCACACACTCACACAGGCAGTCACACACTCACACAGACGGTCACACACTCACAGGCAGTCACACACTCACACAGACACACTGACCTCCTTCTTACCTCCTGCTTGGAGCTCCTGGAGGCTGGTTGTTGGGGAAGCAGGGACTCCTTCCTGCTTCCCATGCTGCAGTCAGCCAGGCCCCCGCTGCACAGTAAGCCCCGCCCCACCGCACGCTAAGCCACGCCCCGCTAGCTCCGCCCCTGTCGCACTAAGCTCCGCCCCCACCGCAAATGTAATTTATTTTTTTTATGATCCCGGCCGGCCATGTGTCAGCTGTACCGGCCGCCTGGCTCCCCCTGCTCCCATGGGGCTCTGTGCGGCCGCACAGCTCACACATGGCCGGCCGGGATCACAGGAGCTGTCAGCCCAATGATTAGGGCTGTCAGACCGGCCCCAGGTGCCGCGGCCCACCGGGAAATTTCCCGGTATCCCGGTGGGCCAGTCTGGCTCTGCACCCCTTGCCCTGTTACAGCCCCTCCACCACCTCCTACCCTGTCATAGCCCCTCTACCACCCCTACCCTGTGACAGCCCCCCTAGCACCCCCTACCCTGTCACAGGCCCCCCTACAACCCCCTGCCCTGTCACAGTCCCTCTACCGCCCTGTGCCCCCTACCCTGTCACAGCTCCCCCAACACCCCCTACCCTGTCACAGCTACTCCACTACCCCATACCGTGTCACAGCCCCCTACCACCCTTGCCCTGTTACAGCCCATCTACCACCCCCTGCCCTCTCACAACCCCCCTACCTCCCCCGCCCTCACAGCTCCCCCACCACCCCTGCCCTCTCACAGCCCCCTACCTCCCCTGCCCTGTCAAAGCTCCCCATCATCCCCTGCCCTGTCACAGCTCCCCCACCACCCCTACCCTGTCACAGCTCCCTCTCCATACAGCCCCTTGCCCTGTCACAGATCCCCCACCACCTTGCCCTCAGTACCACCCCCAGCCCTGTCACAGACCCTACCCCTACCACCCCCTACCCTGCCCTGTCACAGGCCCCCCTACCAAACCCTACCCTGTCACAGCTCCCCCACCACCCCATACCCTGTCACAACTACCCCACTACCCCCTACCGTGTCACAGCCCCCTACCACCCCTTGCCCTGTTACAGCCCCTCCACCACCTCAGGGGGGCTGTGACAGAGCTGGGGGTGGTGGAGGAGCTGTGACAGGGCATGGAGTGGGGAGCTGTGACAGGGCATGGAGCTCCATCACTGCTCCATCACTGCCCCTACAACTCCCCACACTATCACTGCTCCCCCACCACTCTAACCTGCACAGCCCCCCTACAACCCCCAGCCTTGTCACAGCCCCTTAGAACCCTCTGGCCTGTCACAGCCCTCCTACCCCCACCACCCCCTGCCCTGTCACAGCCCCCTACCTCCCCTGCCCTGTCACAGCCTCCTTACCAACCCCTACCCTGTCACAGCTTCCCCCAACACCCTCTACCCTATTACAGCCCCTCCACCGACTCCTACCTTGTCACAGCCCCCCTACAACCCTCTGCCCTCTCACATCCCCCCTACCACCCTCTGCCCTCTCACAGCCCCATACCACATCCTGCCCTGTCACAGCCGCCCTACCACCCCCAGCCCTGTCACA